CTTCATGATGTCTTTGTGCTGCAGCAGTGAGTTTTAAAACCTGACTTTTTTTTTTTCTGGTTCTATTGACTCGTTTTTTTTCATTTGGTTTTGCGGTTCGACAGCTGAAGTAAGGTGTGTGGCAGACAGGGGAAGCAACTCTGGGTTTGTGGTATAATTTGCTTATGTTTTTTTTTATATAAATCATAGTATGACTGCTTTTTTTTGGGTTGACATGAAGACAATTATTTAAATTTCATTAAATACCTTTTCTGACATCATAGTGATGTCTGTATTTTTGAAGCTTTCAAAGAGCAATCCAACTGCAGTTTCAGTCCACACCAGGCTTTCCAAGAAAATGATCAAAATATATAAAAACATTCAGTGTGACATGAAATAAAGAGTTTTTTTCTTCATTAGAAGCATAGTTTTGTCAAATGAACCCTTTTTTTACACATAATGACACACTGCAGAGATTCATTGGTCACTAAATTGATAGTGTGATAGTTGGGGTTATTTCTCAGATCAAAAGTAAAGTATCGGCGCTGCGTTTGCAAAGGCAGTGAGCAGTTTGTTCAGCACGCAACTGCGTCAAGGAAAAACATTACGCTTTGTACTTGTTGTTACGATATAGAAGAAAATATTCTTATTGGCCCTAGTAGCGTCGAGGACGAGCAGGTCCGCAATACTACATCCAATCACATGCAATGTGTGGTCTCTTGACATTAATGAAAAAATAAAAAACTCTAATTCATCCTCATCCTTATCAAAACTGGTTCTGCCTGGTCGACACTTTGTTTTCTGACCTTGCATTCCTTAGGAAACGGTGACTCACTAAAAGAGCAGTAAGAAAAACGTTTTGGGTTATCAATGATCAAGACATTGAAAACCTAGGCGGATGTGAAATATGAGGTGTGGAGAGGAGTGACTAGAGGTGAGACACATGGAGGAAGAGAAGATTATGTGAGAAAGTAATGGGTGAGCAATGTCAGCTTGGAGGCTTGGGAGGAGGTTGGGGCTTTCACATCAGTGCTTTTTTAATCCTGGGAACTCCCACAAACACAGCTTTCCTTCTCTTTACAGATCTGCCACTAAGGGGAAGAACACGCTGGTTTATATTTTATAGAATGATAAATGAAGCGAGTGCCCTGTGATGGCTGTTCTCATGGTTGTAACTTTTACTATATCTACATTTCCAGACTGAGAAAGATTTGGTTGCTAAGTGGGGCGCAGGGCAGAATACAAAAAAAGACCCACTCATTTATTTATAAACCTTTGTAATTCATCGAAACCCTGCTTGGTCTACGGAGCTATAATATGGATATCCCATTTTCATCCTCAGTTAAAGCAACTTCAGCCATCTGTATCTAAATGGAACTGATGGCTGCTGTGTCAAGCAGGGAAACCCCGCTCCACCGCTGCTGCAGCCGATTTGGTCCGGTGGAGCTACATTTATTATGTATACTGTTTGCCTCCTGCTATATTTGTTACACTCCAGTCGCAAGGGAACTGTCCAGATAGCTTTCCTGGATCATTGCTACATAAAGAAAAGCTCATGCCTTTTGAGTGGCCAAGTCTCTTTCAAGTCAGAGGAAAAGTGGAACCATGAAGCGACTGATCTTGTCTGTAAATTTGGTTACATGAAACCACGTGCGATGGTCCGCATGCGTGCTGTCAATTAAGCCCCTATTCGTTTATCTCTTCGTCTCCACTCAGCATGCAGACGTGATCATCAGGCTCAAACAATAACACAGTGCCACAGCCAGCCGAGCTCCAGCCGTACTCCTCCCTCTTCCCTAAACCTTTCTCCCCTCATCCCTCCGTCCGTTGCTGGGGTAACAGCACGGCCTGTCCAGTCAGGCTTTGTTCTACAGATGGCCCTGGCTCCCTCGCTGCTTCTCCTCCTTTCTGCTTCCTCTGTCCTGTGCAGCTGCCCCCTGACCCTAATATAGTTGATTTTTTTGTCCACATACACAGGTGCTATGTTCGTATGCTTTGAAGATAAATATGAATTCACATTTGCAATCGTTTAAATAAAAAAATAAAAAAGACGTCGTCCTTATTTAGCTAAATTAATAGCATGCCACTGTACAATTAGACTCTTGACTCCAGACGTTGTCACCTGGTAAGTAAAAGTCTGTCATCTTTCTATGAGTTTAGTCCGCCTGTCATTCCCTAAGGCCTCTCCCAAGGGAACATAATGAGGGAAGCACTTAAACTTTATGCATAGCTCAAGAGAAAGTTGATCAAGTGACATTTATTCCCAGAGCCACACAGACATCCGGGATGTCTCTGCACCATCATAATGCATAAACAGCTAATGCTAGTCTGCTAGACAAAGTGTTTATCGCTCCGGACATGACGGAAATGTCCATTGTTAATTTTCTTACTTTGTCTACCAGCAGGTCAAAATCTTAGCTTAATTTGTAAAGTATCGCCATTCCCATCAGCCAGCCAGAAACTAATGCAAATCTACGCTTGAGGTCTGAGTTTACATTAAAACCACACGTACTGTAAATGCTGTATGACAGATGCTGGTTATACAGGTTTTCCAGACACATGATCCCTTCCCTTAAGGACATTACCTTCAGGGTTTTTCCTGGAACTGTTTGAATGGATGCTGCTGTGTATCCCTTTCAGAAGATCCAAATTATCCTATTTTCTCAAGTGCAACCAGATGTCCATGACCTCAGCCAGCTGAGCTGTTCTCTCTGCAAAATGACCCACTTATGCCCCCACCCCCCTCCCCACACGCCCCCCACATACGCTCTTGAAGCCTGTTTCAATGCCTTTCAGTCAGCCACATTCCAGTGCAATGTGCAGGGTAGCCTACATTTTGTAGGTTAATAAGGGAGTTGGGGTGGTCCTATATTTAACACGGAGAGACAAAACCACATTAAAAGGCCCTTTGGCTGTCTTCGCGTTGTTTCCCTGTGGACCAACTGGCCCTTTTAGTACAAGACAGCTTCAACGTGGCCTCAATATAGCATACTCTACACTGAATGTAGCAGATTTAATGTCTTCACTAGTCATCGGCTGTCATATATACAATTGTTGGAATTTTAACGTTTAAATCCTGAAACGGGATCTTTATCTGCAACGTATTTATTAGGGATCTAATTTAAATTTTTATCAAGACGATTGAATTGTTTGTTGAACAATCTTCAGTTCATTTTCAACGCTTCAAAAAATATCACTGAAAACATTACAAAAAAGTTAAAGAGGGAAGTTGTTTACATTAGTGGAAAAAAGTATTGAGATGAATTACTCAAGTAAAACTAGTAGTACCACAATGTAAAATAACTCCATGAAAATATTTCCTGCATTCGCTCAGTTTTGGGGCCTGTCTCTTTCAGACCACTTCCCAAAAAAGCTCAATCTGATCTAATTGAAAGGCAAAAAAAGCAGCAGCCAGCCAGGAACCTTGGGTTCTGAAGCAAAGGTGTCTTAAATGTGGATTATTTGGGCCCTGCTGTAGCTCAGTGCAAAAGCAAGGGCACACTTTTATTAGATGATCCAGGTTTCCAGGACTCCGCTCGTCCTTCCCAATGTGTCCTTGGCCAAGATACAATACTCCGAGTTGTGCTTGTACGCTCTGTGGATTTGAGTAATCATGTTAGCAACGATATCCTGATGGGAAAGGTGGCATCTTGAGTGGTAGCCCCTGAAATCACATCAATTTACCATTATTTCAAATGGCCATCGGGGGGCTACTCCTCCTTAATATCCCATCCGTTCAAGAAGGCTTTACGAACATGGTAACGTTCATTGGTTAACTCAAAACTTCAAAACGTAGGTCCCTAAACCGATTGATTCACAATGACTATGACCACAATCTCTGTGTGCAGCTTTGCAAACATCGTTGTAAAGCCCCGTGGTTGTATATTCTAATGACCCTGCGTGTGAGCGGAGCCCAACCTGAATGGCTGGTTGAATCATCTTTTCTGATCGGAAAAGCTGACTTGGTTATCTTGTTTCACAGTTTGGTAGAAACTCCAAATACCCAAATACGTGTACATGAGCACTTAATCTCGAATATTCCCTTTAAATGTCCCATTTAAGTTAGAGAATACCTCTTTGAAATATAGCAGAAAAGAAAATATAAAGTACAAGTAATTAAACGTTGTGGATATTTTGGAGTTCCTCTCACTTCCCTTCTGGAACCAAGTAACTTGTTGTGTTTTGAACTACTGGTACTGCCTTAAACTACTGTTAAAGTCTACACTTTAGTGTGCCTGCCTTCAATATGGAAGTATTTCTGTGAGGCCCTGTGTCAGGATGTGTCTGTATAAGGTTGTTTGTTGCCACACATTGATTGGAGACTTCTCAGATTAGTCCAGTCATTCAATGCTCATTTAATTTAATCTGCAGGAAGCAGATGTTCATGAGCAGCAGATAGTCATCCCTCACTTTCAGCTTCTCTTCTCCGATCCTCCCTTTTATACGGTCTTCCCTGCAGTTGCTGATTTGTTGTCCGAGCATGCATTATACATTATATGTAATTAATGAAGGTAGACACTCTTGATTTCTGTCATTTTATTTGTGGACTAAATTCTGTTAAGCAGTCAACCTTCATCCTTTCTTTCTTTTTATTTTTGGCTCACATATCCACCACCAGCTGCCCACATACACCCACACACATGGAAGCATAGTATTTGGTAGTGGCAATAACGTTTATTAAGACCATTCACTGACTATGTTCATTCCAAAACCCGGAGCAGCTCCTTTCTAAAACAGAGGACCAGCACCATGCTCCAAATTTGGGGACTTTTGGTAATTTTCTCTCACCTTGTGAAAATGTGTGTGTTGAGGAAATGATATCCCCTACACTGTCCATGCAGGTACTATAAAGGAAGAATCTGCACAGCAATTATCATCCATCCATCCATTGTTCCGATTTAAGAAACACTAACAAAGAGAGTAAGGAAAAGAGGAAAATGTTTGAACAGTTGAAGCAAAACGTAATCCAGTTCAAAGAAAGTGATAACTTTTTAGTCCATAGGCAGAGAAAAAAGAATTTTATTTGAGCCGAGTATGGAACCCAAAACGATTGTGAACCACATATGTTGGCCAGGTGATAATCTAAATAAAAATAAAAAACTTTTTTTTTTCAATGAATTCATGAGTGCAGCATTTATGTTCTGTTTATTAGTAGCTACAGATTAGGGATAGAATGCTAAACAAGTCTTCTCTGACCTTTTGTCTTCTCCGTAATGCTATGGCTCCTTCCCTTCTTTTTTCATTTCAGCACCTTGGACAGCAACCCCCAGCGGCAGAACGTCTCTGCAATCCAAACATGTTTACCAACTAAATTGAGCCTTAAGAGGAAACCAAGGGAGCAATATACCCCGATATGACCCCGACAATATATGTCGGGGTCAATTTAGTCATTTATAGCTCCCCAAACTGTTTGTGAAGAATCCTCCCACTCTTTTTAAAATTGCTAAAGTAACCTGTTTCCTCTTTTGCATTGATCATAATGATATGATATAATGTTGTGTGTGATACTATAATATGGAGGACTTTTAGGTCTGAAATCACATGGTATATACACAAAATGATGACTGTAAAGGCTAAAGAGCAAAATGCATCTAATTACAGACAATAAAAAAGGTCACGTTTCAGAGGCAAGGAATTTTAGATCTGCGTCTCCCTCCCTCTGATCACACCTGTCACAGGGCTACTGGTGCGTTGTGCTCTAATTTCCCTTCTGACATTCACAATATTATCCCTTAAATATTGCAGTTTACACTGGTTGTGTTTCCCTCGATTCTATCAATAAATATTTTAGATCATATACTTGTGCAAGACATTGTGTTTATCTGCTTACTTGAACAACACCTTTTTTTCTCTCGCTTTCTCACGATTTTCCATCACCTCTCTCCTTGGGCTATGACCTTGTTTGAATACGGCTGTGGGTGCTCGGGCGTCTGTCTACGAGACGGGGAGGATGGGGTGTGAGGCGGGGGGGAGGAGGGGGGGGGGGCAGATGGAGGCGGGCACGCCCAAACGATGGTGCTCAACGATGCCCGTCTGTTGCTTCTTGAGAATATCGTCCTGCGATTGGCGGAGGACAGTGAAAGGTGCCCAGCGCTGGCGCGCCATGGGCGGGTGGACGGCCTGTTTATAAACCCATGCTCTTCTCGCGTGGGCGGGAACAGTACAAGTAGAGCGTGAAAGTGAAGCGCGGGGAGAAAAGTGAGAGAGGGACCGTGGAGAAGAAGGGTCTGTGGTGGCGGCTGCGGGTGACCGGAGTTCGCGGAGGAGAGGAGGGGTGGTGGGGGGGCGAGCGAGGCGGCCACCCCTGAAAGCCTCTTCATCCGCGCATGGACGACCACCTCAGCCTCCTGCAATCACCCCCGCCGAGCGCAACCAAAAGCCGGGGCAATAACCTTGTGAACCACGGATACACGGAGACCGACGTGATGACCGTTGTGGCGTGTGATAACATGCTGGAAGAGTCGGCGGCTCTCCCGGGCCACCACTCTCTGGACCGATATGAACCGGATCACGAATGCTGCGAGAGGGTCGTCGTCAACATCTCGGGGTTGCGCTTCGAGACCCAACTCAAGACTCTTTCCCAGTTTCCAGAGACTCTGCTGGGGGACCCCAAGAAGAGGATGAGGTACTTTGACCCACTCAGGAACGAGTACTTTTTCGATCGAAACCGACCCAGCTTTGATGCCATTCTTTATTACTACCAGTCAGGCGGGCGCATCAGGAGACCAGTTAATGTGCCCATTGACATCTTCTCTGAGGAGATCCGCTTCTATGAGCTTGGCGAGGAGGCTATGGAGAAGTTCAGGGAGGATGAGGGCTTCATAAAGGAGGAGGAGCGGCCGTTGCCAGAGAACGAATTTCAAAGACAGGTGTGGCTTCTCTTTGAATACCCGGAAAGCTCGGGTCCCGCGCGGGGTATAGCAATAGTGTCCGTCCTGGTCATCCTCATCTCCATTGTCATCTTCTGCTTAGAGACATTGCCGGAGTTCAGGGACGACAACAGGGATCCGATCAACATTGTACCTGCGATAAATGGCACACTCCCCTTTTTCAGCAGCCCCTTCTCTGACCCGTTCTTTGTTGTGGAGACGTTGTGTATCATCTGGTTCTCCTTCGAACTGCTGGTGCGCTTCTTTGCGTGTCCCAGTAAAGCCACGTTCTCCAAAAACATCATGAACATCATTGACATCGTGGCCATCATTCCGTATTTCATCACCCTGGGAACGGAGCTGGCGGAGCGGCAGGGGAACGGACAGCAGGCCATGTCATTGGCCATTCTGCGCGTAATCCGGCTCGTCCGGGTTTTTCGCATCTTCAAACTCTCGCGTCATTCCAAGGGGCTCCAGATTTTAGGACAGACTCTGAAAGCCAGCATGCGCGAACTGGGGCTACTCATCTTCTTCTTGTTCATCGGTGTCATCCTCTTCTCGAGCGCGGTCTACTTTGCCGAGGCGGACGACCCGGACTCTGGTTTCAGCAGCATCCCGGACGCCTTCTGGTGGGCTGTCGTCACCATGACCACCGTGGGATACGGGGACATGCACCCCGTGACGATCGGGGAAAGATCGTGGGGTCCCTGTGCGCCATCGCCGGTGTGCTGACTATTGCCCTGCCCGTGCCTGTCATCGTCTCAAATTTCAACTACTTCTACCACAGAGAGACCGAGGGAGAGGAGCAGGCACAGTACCTGCATGTGGGAAGCTGTCAGCCTCTAGCTGACACAGAGGAGCTGAGAGAGACATGCTCCTCTTCCTCACTCGGCAAGAGCGAGTACATGGTGATAGAGGAGCATGGCATCAACAGCGAGTTCAAGCCGCGGAGCATCTTCCCCACCGCCCCGCAAAACGACTCGCGGAATTGTGTGAATATAAACAAAAAGATTTTCACCGACGTGTAGCCAATTATAGAGCCATGGCCCCGGAACACGGGAGGGAGGGGGGGGGGGGGGGTGTAAACACAGCTGCTTCTGTCCCTGGACGCTACAGAGGGGAATCCACGCTATCATATTAAGAAAGAAACAAAGAGCAACCCCTGTCTGTTCGGAGGCGCCGCGTTTTGCTCCATTCAGGGGAACCAGGGTTTTTCACCTCGGTGATCCAAATTTGGAATTCTTTGTTTCCTTTCGCGCTTGTTGAGAACGAGCTCCTTAACGTATTATGCCTATTATAGTTACAGACTTGACCTCATGTGCATTGTGCAATAGCCAATAGTTTATCACGACGTAGAAGCGTTCTAGGTGTGAAAGGTTAGTACAAATGTATGTTTTACTCGAAGAAAACTCACATTAAAATGTGTTGTGAGTCGTGATCCGTCAGCCATATAGCCTGCATTCAATATTCAGAATCATTTCAAATGTGTGCGTTTAAATACCACATGTATTGTCTGAAAACACAGTCCTCGATATATTATCTAAATTAGATTGTTCTGTGATATGCCTTTATCGTGCGTTAATACTGTCGTTAAAGGTAATCCCCTTGTATTCCTTGTATGAACTGTCCCATTAGAGGCTACATTTAAACGGCACCATATAAACACGGGATGACGCCGTCTGTCAGTGTCTCGTCATCGGTGCCAGACGCACCTTAAAAGCGGGAGAAGCGCAGCCTTCTTTCACGCACATGCAGCAATCAAAGATGGAGCTTCCTCTTTGGATGCCTCAAATATAACCCGCTGTGATGCAGTCGTCATGGTGACGGTGGTTTCCACGATAACCCCAGTCACCGTTGCCATGGCAGCCTTGTTTCCACAGTAACCTTGCAGGTGGCTCGGAAGCTCATTTGAAGACGAGTGTCTAAAAAGATTGCCCTTGGTCTTAAAAAGACTGTTCGCCCACCACGCTTTGCGTGCGTAAAAACAACACCAAACTCACCCGGCGCAACAATTGACAATCAACAAGCCCACACAACATTTTCCCGGTGCGCTGTTCATGCAGAATGAACAGGAACCACTCAGAGGTGATACGTCGGGAGAAGTGGAAGAAGAGGCATCGCGTAAGGAATTATGAATGGACTGGGAGCACTTAGTGGCTGGCTGTCCTAAGTGCACTACTGCGGGCATCCAGCCGAGGCCGCTGTAGTCCAACTGCTAAACTGGTAGGTTCTGATCACTGCTCCTTGTTAAACGTAAAATCCAAGAGTATGGACCACTCCTTTTCCTTCAGGCATCAATCCAGTGTTTTTTCCAATTCAGATAGTCCAGTTTTATCTAAATAACTGTATCTGATTGAGATGCACCTCACAGGTGCAGGTCAAACATTTCCAACATGAGTTTTTACTCTATCAAAGCAAATACAAAAGCTTCTTGTTTGATATCATTGCTGAATGCATTCTGAGCTGGGTCATTTTCAGAGGTTTACCTGTATTTTACTGAAATGATGAGAGTAGATGATGCTTGAAACCACTCTATTTTTTTGTAGATTGAGTGTGTGAAGTTTAAGGCCTCGCTGAAAATTAATTTGGAAAAAATGCCAATATTTTGGTGTGTATAACTCTACCCTAACTCCAACAGAAATAAGGGAGAAACTATATTACAATTGCAGGATTGGGGAATTTGTCAAACAACACTATGTTTACCTCTCCAGTCATGCTTGAGTGACGCTAGGGCAGTCTCATTATCTGGCTTACCCGAAAGGAAAATTAAGAGGTCCCACAGAATAAACTGCATTTATTGATTATTCCTTTCCCTTTTGACCCCTGATCTTTAGTGCATATATTTTCAGTGAAACATTCTGTACCGGTCATCAGTTAAATTGCCTACTCATTTCTTAGGGCACGTAAAAGCAGAGAAACATAATCTATTGCTCAGTGAGCAAACTGTAAGGAGAAGACAGAATCTACTGTATTGGTCAGTCTGGGAGTCTATTGTCATGGGCAGGATGGATTACTAGACACACAAAAAACAAAGACAAAAACTCTGATCACCTCTGCTAACCTCTGCCCCTCTTGCTTTAAGTTTATTGCAGTGTAGACTGTAGGTTGTTACTATTATACAGAATAAATTGCAGTGAGTGAGCAGTTTGAATGCCTATCTGCTCCATTTAGAAACAAGGTTAATTGAAAATGTGTCAGTGGGGATTAATTGGGAATCCTTCTTGTTACAGGGCTTTTTGCAAGCCTCGCCTTGCCATCCGAACCAAGTTTATTTGAGTTTTGCATGGGTGGTAATGAGAAAGCAGAGAGAAGAGGAGCAGCCTCTGGTTGTTAATAAGACTTGCATCTATGCTGTGTAGCTCTAACAATGTTGATTTCCTTCCTTCTCCCCACCCCCCTCTCTCTCTCTCTCTCTCTCTCTGTCTCTCTCTCTCTCTCTCTCAGGTGAATGCCATTCCATTTTTCTGCACAGACTTTCTGCAACTCCTGACAAAAGCAATCTACTGCCTCAAATTGTGGTAAACAAACTCCCTTTATTAATAGACAGAAATATGAATTTCAACTAATATTATAGCTCTATGCACTGCACTAACCACTGACCTGCAGTGACTCTTTATTCTCTTTAAGGGCACAATGATCTGGTCTTCCTTTTGAGCCAGTTTGGCTAAATTCGAAAGCTGAGACAGAACTCAACTGGACAATTTTCCTGATGGCTGACCTCCTGGACTCGATGCATACCAGCCCAGAAATCCATCAAGAAAATGACAAGAAAATGTAACATATTCCATAGCTTTGTATAGAAGCAGTTTTCTGACTGCTTCTCTTTTGAAGGTTTGTGGAACCAGGCAGTGAAGGAATACAGCTGGAACTGTGTCATTGACTGGCATTTCTCTATAAAGCTTTCTATATAAACTTCAAAAGGAAAGCACATTTAATTCCTGAACTTTAGACAGATATTTAAATTCTGTTTTCCTTTTTCTTGGTAATGATATTCATTACGGACAAAAACAGCTTTTGCGACAAAGTAAAAAGTTGTGACAACTGAGGCCAACCGTGATTTTCTGATATGAAACTGTGATACAAAGCAAAGACTGTTAGCCATATGCCTTTTGTTAGCTCTGTGTGCTCAACACATCAACACACACACGTAAAAAAAAAAAACAGACCTACATGTGTGCCAGTTGTAGCTTTTCCTCTGATCTGCACATGTAGAACAATAGAGAAACATGCATAAACTGCACACACAAACATAGGCCCACACACACACACACACACACACACACAGACACACAGACACACAGTCACACAGTAGCCATGTACCTGTGAGTAGCTCCCTTTTTTCCCAGAGTTCACTAGTGTGTTGTTTTGGGGATGGGGGAGAATAATGTCAGGGGAAAGTTGTGTTTGCCAGTATTTGTTCTGTGTTATTCTGTGCTGTCTTAAACATGTCCGACATGAAGAGACTCTAAGTTCTATTGTCATTGTTTTATTATTATTTCAGTCAAATTGCTGATTGAATGGTATGCTTTTATGTTTTGGAGAATATTTAGATTTCAGGCCTTATTGCCTCAAGTACCGTACTTTTGACTAGAGACCTTTGAATCACATGCTTTCTTTATGTATGTGACTGTAGAGTAATTCACTTTCATCATACAATACAACATTCACTTCAGTATGGTGTAGTTTAGTAAGTGCAACCTATTCAATTTGTTTATCATCATTCAAGGGGATCAAGGCATTTCAATACTTTAACAATATACACGACAAAAACAATAGTCACATTCTAAATGATGCTATCGTTCAATGTTAATGTAATCTCACAAGATAATAAGAGCGTTTGCACCCATAAATATGGTGTTGACACTGCTGTTGAGTTCTAACAGTTTAATTAAAGTGTTTTTTAAACAGTGTTTGGCCGGAGCCCTTTCAGCGGCTTCAGAAAATCTCAAATTTTACAGAAGTCGCCATCGTATTTGCGCTGAACCGACAGAACAAGGGAACCTCTCTGTACATATTTGTAAATATCCATGCAATAGATGATATTGAGAAATAAAATACTCCTAGTTGACATATTTAGAAATATCTACATTAAGACGGATTTAAATTAAGCATGGGAGATATATACTGATTTCAAAAGAACATTATTACCACAGATTAGGCTGCATTGCTGAACCCTACAGAGAACCAAACTGTGTGTGAGTCCAGTGGAAAACTTCATATCATCTCAGTGCAGCAGGAGGTAAATATTAACATTCTAACAGACGTTTACAGCCATCACACTGTCATTCTGTGTACGAGCAAGTGTGCTTTATTGCTCCACTGAGCTCACCAGCTTACTATTAACTCTGCACATCTCCAGGCTATTGTGTGTCCCCGAGTATCAACCCGCCTGTCTTTAAGGTTATTGGAAATGCGGTAATAGTTGTTGACTAAATACTTCCGAGATTTATCAGTGCAGCAGAATTATGGACACTTGTTGTCAGCTATTAACGCTCATCGGTTGTATTTAGTCTTTTTCTGGCTTTACTACTAAACAAATCTCAGTAAAATAAAACTGCCTTTGAGATCACAAAAATACCAATGACGTCGGCAAAGCTCATTGCCAGCCATGGCGCTACACCAGGAAATCTCCATAGCAACAAGGGAGGGTTGTCGTGCACGTTGAACAGAATGGCCATGACGAACAGACACAGCCCTCTACAGGTGCACTGAAGGTGTCAAGCTGTCTGTAACAATAGCATTAGTGTTTATGTGCACATGACTTGTGAGAATGTGGGCATGTGCGTCATTAGGTGTGTTTGGAGGTGTTGTGTGTGCCTTGAAGAAGATCAGGGTATTGCCTATTGGGTCTCACCATACAGGGATTCCATTTGAACAGTTGGTAGGTAGGATGATAGCAACAGCTGATTGTATGGGCACGCACACACACACACACACACACACAACGCTCCATTTATGCATCCAGCGAGGCACATTTCTATCATTTATTTGGGGTTATGTTTTTTTTTTTGTATTAACTGCTTAGAAAAATAGAATGAAAAACGCTCCATTTTGTTCACTGTTTGCCAAAAACATTTCACTCTCACTCCCTTTTCAAACATGCAACACATGATATGAGATAAGGTAAAGCTTTTATTTTTCCCTGACACCTGACACTTTGTTTTTTGTGACTTTCCATAATGTGTTATCTGAATCTTCAGTAGCAGAGCCATACGATTGGTAGCTGAGAAGCTTGGTTGCTAAGGGTGAGGATGCTGTTGCTAGTGCTTCTGATTAATTCTGGATGCCGATTGGCTGGTCAAGTGCAGTTTCCAGCCACCGGCTGAGTAGACAAGATGGGACTAACTGTCCAGACACGTGTACTTTAGCTAAACACACAACAAAACAATATTGGACAAACACATGCAGGAGCACATGAAACATTAAAAACAGTATCTGCTGCATATTCCGAACGGGATGACATATTTAGTTATGTCCCTTGGAGGGGTGATCTGCTGCCAATCATCTCAGTTCTTTTCCCGTCAAAACAAACAAATGCTTGAGAGGCTGATGTGTGAAACAGATCGAGAGAGAGATGCTGCTGTGCTCCACTGGATGACTCATCGCTCCGTCACTATGACCTTTATCTCCACCTCGGTTGTCCCGTCTCCTCCATTCCTTTTTCATTTTCTGCAAACCATTAACTTAATTTCTTGCTGACTACGTTTATCTCCTCACCCGCTACCCCACCAAGCCTCCTCTCTGCGACGCACAAGAGCTCTTTCTCGACGTCATTCCACCCTTCACCTCCCTTTTTGTCGCATTCCCTCGCATCCTCTGGCCGTGAAACCATCATTTCTGTGGGGTCGGGTGTTGCCGTCCTTATGGATGCCGGCTCTGACACGGTGTTGCCACAGACTGCAGCTCATACACAGTAGCTGGTGGTTTGATTGAACTAACTAAACAGGCAGCACTTAACTGCTGCTCCCAGTGTGGGAAGAAAACACTTAGGGGAGATTTCCGTAGTGCTACTGTACATCATTCAATGAACGCTTCAAAGCATGCTGCTAAGCCTCGTTAAAAAGAAGATCTCTGGATATGGCAAACATATGGCATTTATAACATGTTCAGCTGTTCATACAGTATAGATATTATTTATATACTCCCAAGTTTCCTCCCTGCAGCACCCACAAAATGTTTCACTGATCATCTTTTTTTTCTTCTTGTTTTCGAAGGCTCTGAAAAAAAACAGAAAGTGATACCACATCCAAAATCAATAATAGAGTGCTCTGCTCCAAAGGCGAGGACATATCAAATCATGAAAGCAGGGATCCTCATCAGTCTGGCTGCTCTCAACAGGCAGGTAGACAACTACCAAGGTCAACCTCTAAATATAGAGGGACCCCAGAGGGAGACATGCAGAGAGAGCGATGAGTGAGGGGTGTAAATGAAGGCAGATGAAGGGACAAAAAAGCTAATGTGGCAATTAAGTTTCATGGCTCATGCGTCGGACTGCTATTTAAATGCTTACACGGAATAAAATACTTAGGAGAGTATCAGGATTTCCTTGTGTTCAATGCGAAATGAAAGGAAAACAGTTTATTTTGTTGGAGTGATAAAATAAACACGGATAAATACGTGAATGTTTTATGTGTGATGACATGGGCTATTACATCTGTATGTGCACGACTGTGTTGCGAGTGAGCGATCACCTGCTGCAGCAACCAGCAGAGGTCATTTGGGACGGAGCCCCTCCCATGCAGTCTGCTGTCACAAGTCGGATGAGCACCCTCCTCCTTCCTCCCTCCTCAATTATGTCTGTTTCTCACGCTCATCACCCGCCTCTCACTCCCACATTTTCTGCTGCAGAGAAATGGGTGGAGACTTTAGGTGTGCATGCGTACTGACTCACACGCCGACACACACTCACGCTGATCCTCTCACAACATATCCAGCTGCCATGAGGGACCCCGGCGTCTAATTGCCTTATGAAGGAAGAAAGCTTCCTACAATGAAAGAGTACTCAGGGAGTGACGTTTCCAGTGGGAATGCATCCTTCAGTTAGTTTATGAGGTTCCATCTGGTATTCTCGGTTGAATACGAATGATGAATCTTTAGTTCCATTCTTGCCACAACCTGAAGGTGAGAGAGAACTAGAAACACAACTATAGATCAGAATTTTCACAGCTGTGCTCAAACACACAAACATTCAAAGGATTCAACCTGTTGCTGCTTCTTATTTTTATTGTCTCGTATGTATTTGATTAACAGGAAGCATGTTGTTACAGATTCAGTAGATTCATTATGAAGTTATAATGTTGCTTTTAGCCTTTGCTATTTGTAAGCAGTATTTTATAACTTATATGTTTTAATAGCAATGGATTTTAATTCTGTGTCACAGAATCTTTGTCGCATGGTGGAAATATAAATTCAAATTGAGGCATTTTTTAAATACAAATTTAAGGGTATATTGGCTTTGTTACTAATTATAGCTCTCACTGGACAAACATGTTGTTCAAACGTATCAGATATATTATCTCAGTAGCTGCCAAACCTTGAATGCCAGTGTTAGTCGATCGAAGATTATGAAAACTGAATTGTAACAGGAAATGTGATGTGAGCTTTGCCAATGTATGCAAATCCATTTTCACACAAATAAAATGAAACATAAATCATCAGAAAATGACTCACCTTTACCCCAACCCCAATCAACTTACTCCCACACGCTATGTGCCCTCTTCCCCATCCTGCCAAGACTGCGTTGTGAATATTTTGTCTGAGGAAGAATCTTCTGACTCCCAGCATTAGATATGGGTGTCGGGGCTCTTGCCTTCCTTCCATTTAGAATTATAGCGTCTACATTTATACGAGCAATAGGGATTTAAGAGTTCTGTATCAATCCGTCTACGTAAAAGTTTCTCTAGCTCATTGAGACCCTCAGTTATCATCCTATGCAGGGTGGGGGCCTCATCTTAATCACAATGTTGACACCTTCATTGGAGAAAGATGTGTTCAACCTGTTTTTGGACAACAGAAGGGGTTTTTCTTTAAAGTGTGGGTGATTCCCGCTATACATGAATACCTGCCCAAGCAGTGGAGGAAAAAGGCGCAGGGAAGACAGAAAACTTCACTACATTAGTTATTTTGACCGTGCGAGCAGTGCACTTGACATTCATTTAGTCCACTTTCATGATTGCTTTAATAGCTGTTTGTTCATCTTCTGCATGTGTGAGTTGTGTGCCTGCTCGACAGGTGTGGCCTGTGATAGGTAGCCTAAGAGCATTCAACTTGAGGGTTCTATTGTCATGTGCCCACATGGCACTGTAATGTTCTTCAAACTAAAGTAACAAAGCACACAAACAAACGAGGCCTCGCCAGCAGCCATTTGTACTGGTGCATCCAATAAAAAAAATTAAAATAATGATAAATCGCCTTGGTTAGAGTCTACACAGGAACTGCTGAGGTGCACAAGTGCTCTAATTCCCTCAATGAATTGTTCTCGGGAAGATGTTCCCACCTTTCGTTATCATTAAAGAAAACATTATACAGTTCGTATTCTTTTCATGAATTGCCATTCTATCTCGGGTGCTTGAACAAATTGACCTAATGGAATGGTTAGTTGTGCCGTCGCCACCCTTGGGTGGGTGGACGATGCTTCCCCTTTAACGCGGAGCGGAGAGGACAGCAGTGCCGGGGAGCGCAAGGCGACGGGGCGAGGCGCGCATGCAGATCTTAGTATGCGCCGCGATGCCCGGATGCAGCCCACGCACATCAACTATGGTGAATTACGGTGAAACATGAGAGACGTGGAAGGAGGCGGCAGCTCGAAAACAGTTGGTCGTGATGAGGTGACACATCCGTTTGACAGACTATAGTCAAATCAGGGAAGAAGGACAGCTATGAAGGAATGGACTCGCGAGCACAAGGCGCCTTTTAAGAAGAGACGAACTGGATAACATTACATGCGCCTACAGAACCAGGGTGAATTCCTGCATGTTATTCTCTTGAAAATATATGCTGTAGTGTGACAGAAAACGCTATGCTGGTGTGTTAAGTGCATGGAGTGTGTTATGGCTCCTATCCATGGTCCACACAGGAGAGGACCGCAAATGGCACCTGCACTCCAAACTAACGTTAACTCACTTGCGCTGGCGACTCCACTACGAAGCTGACATGTCATGTTTGAACATGCCAGTGCATGAACTAGGTGGCTTTTTCTCAAATTTAGCGGGGGGGTTAGGGGTGCATATGAAAAACGCCCCCAGAGGATCGCGTTTTTTCATTGAGTGGGTTGCGAAATGAAGCCTCCGCTCGTTGCTATAATGTGCATCATTCGCGTGTTCAAATGAATATTCCCTATTTCGAAAAAAACGAGGGCGAATTTAGGTGGAGATAAGCTAAAATAATGAATGTTCCAACGAGGTAAACGCAAAGATGAAAAAACCTTGAGGAGGAATTACGGAGCGGTTTGGAGATCAAACAGGTGATTTTGTTGTTGCTGAGATCTGCCCTGTGTACCACGGAGCAGAAAACACCTCCCTTCCCCAATGAGTCTCTAGACATCACAAGATTCCCTCCGTTGTTACAGGCGTTAACTATAGTTCCGAAGAGGTGGAGTCATATTCTGCATTTTTGAAATCTAACATTTTTAGACTTTCTCACTCTATTGCCAAACAAACTGCTCCCACAGACCAGCAGTGGTGTCGCGCCTCGCGCTCCCGATCTTCGGCCAATGAGAGAAGAGCCCCTTGGACCACCCTTTCTGCATGTTGGGTGCAACACCACCAGAGGACACATTGTAAAAAAAAAAGCATTAAAAGCCCTTAGGTAGGACTTTTAAAAAATGTGTATTCTTTGGATATTGTTGGTTTAACTACGAAATCACACGTATGTACCTTTTGGAAGTAAAATAGTGGGTCCTTTGAAAGGGAATGTTGGTCTCATGCAGATGGGTGAAATTTATCTCAAAGATTGTATGGAGCACTCATCATATAATCCAATTTGTTAGTTGAAACTGCACCCTGCGGGAGCTGATAGAGTGTTACTGGCTGGCTTATTGATCCTACAGTGTTCTCATTTGAGGGAGAACTCACAACCTAATACACACAGACACAATGGAGCCAATGAGCTCAAGTGTCTCTTCTGCTCCTCTCCTGCTTGTTATTTTCAACTTCTCTTGTCCTGCCTGTTTGCAGGACGGTCTGGAAGTAACGTAACATTTCTAGCTAATAACTCATTTAAATGTATCATAAATGTGTACCAGTTGAGACAAGTTCTGTAAAATATATGCTAGAAATCCAAATGTACTATATGATTATCATAATAATATTGCACTTTTTTCCCCACTTTCTTTCCTCTTGCTCTTTGCAGGCGGATCTTCCTCTACCTGAACCAACCAGCGCGCAGCACCTTTATCTCCTCGCGCTCCGACGTGGCCCCGCCCTCTCTAAAACCTGCGGGTCCCATCTGCCTCGAGCATGACGGTTGCCACTAGCGACCCTGCGGACGAGGCAGCAGCCCATCCGGGTCAGCCTCACGACCTGTATGACCCAGAGCTGGATCACGAATGCTGTGAGAGGGTCGTCATCAACATCTCAGGCTTGCGTTTTGAGACACAGCTCAAAACTCTCTCCCAATTTCCAGAGACGCTGCTGGGGGATCCCAAGAAGAGGATGAGGTATTTTGACCCTCTCCGCAACGAATACTTTTTTGATCGTAATCGACCAAGTTTTGATGCCATTCTGTACTATTACCAATCAGGAGGGAGATTGCGACGGCCCGTTAACGTGACCCTGGACATTTTTTCTGAGGAGATCCGATTTTATGAATTGGGTGAGGAAGCTATGGAAATCTTCAGGGAGGATGAAGGTTTCATAAAAGAGGAGGAACGGCCTCTGCCGGAGAACGAGTTTCAGAGACAAGTCTGGTTGCTGTTTGAGTATCCAGAGAGCTCGGGTCCTGCGCGCATTATTGCTATCATCTCCGTCATGGTGATTCTTATCTCTATTGTCAGCTTCTGCCTGGAGACATTGCCAGTTTTCCGAAATGATGATGAGGAGATGTACAATTATCAATTCCAGTCCATGTCCAATGCCACCTATACCTATGATAACTCAGCTTATTTTAAAGACCCTTTCTTCATCGTGGAGACCCTGTGTATCATTTGGTTCTCTTTTGAGTTCCTCGTTAGGTTCTTTGCCTGTCCCAGTAAAGCTGGATTTTTTGGCAACATCATGAACATCATTGATATTGTGGCAATCATCCCCTACTTCATCACCCTGGGTACAGAGCTAGCAGAGAGGCCAGAAGACGGCCAGGCAGGACAGCAGGCCATGTCTTTGGCTATTCTCCGTGTCATTCGTCTAGTGAGGGTGTTTCGTATCTTTAAACTCTCCCGTCACTCCAAAGGGCTCCAGATCCTGGGCCAGACTCTGAAGGCTAGTATGCGTGAGCTAGGCCTCCTCATATTCTTCCTGTTCATCGGCGTGATCCTCTTCTCCAGCGCTGTCTACTTTGCAGAAGCAGACGAGCCAAATTCCCAGTTCAGCAGCATCCCTGAGGCCTTTTGGTGGGCAGTGGTTTCCATGACCACAGTGGGCTATGGAGACATGGTCCCAACAACCATTGGAGGGAAGATTGTCGGATCTCTCTGTGCAATTGCCGGTGTGTTAACTATTGCCCTGCCTGTACCTGTCATCGTGTCAAACTTCAACTACTTCTACCACAGAGAGACAGAGGGTGAGGAACAGGCACAGTACCTGAATACCCCGAGTGTGCCTAAAGCCAGCTCAGCTGACGATCTGAAGAAGAGTGGTCGGAGCGGCAGTGGGTCCACTCTCAGTAAATCTGAATACGTGGAGATCCAGGAGGGTGCAAACCACAGCACTGAGGACTTCAGACCAGATGGCATGAAAACAGGAAACTGTACACCGGCCAACACTAACTATGTAAACATCACTAAGATGCGTACAGATGTGTAATACGACCATACATGGTTAACTCCAGCTGGGGTCTGCAAGGGGAGGATTATGGTGGGGTTCCATGAATTGAAAAACACGGAGCGCCCAACATGGTAGTCCAGAGCAGATTAATGGGTTTATCTTGGGGAAAAGGTCAGTCAAGAGGACCTCTTGATGGCACTCATCTTGTGGACCATCAGCGCATATCACAGAGTTGCTGTCTCTCTTGTTTAGGACATTATCTGCATAGAGTTAGTCTTACCTGTGTGACACGCTGCTCGGTAGCCAAACAGTAGCCGAACCAGTAATAACCAATATTAACAGTGTAAAGGGACCACTAGTTTATCTTTTATTGCTCAAACTGCCGCGGGGGGGGGAGTTGCACGATAACAACGATCTACATCAATGGGACATTTATTTTTAAACGTAACTTTACTTATTAACTTGTGATTAAAAACAGGCCATTTTATCAGGATTAATGAGCTTTAATCTGCCACTCCAACTGCCAAGGACCTGATTGAGAGAAAAACAAAGTCAACAACAAAGTATCTCCTCTGTCTGGGCATATCTAAATAGTACTTCGGCCATCTTTAGATTTTACCCAGCAGACGCTAGTAAGTCCTGTTGAGAACAACAGATAGAGGATGTTCTTTGCTGTGTTACCAAACCACACCGGCACACCTTTTCTGCTGACATTTTTCTTCAATGAAGCTCAAGTGGATTTACAGTAAGAACACTCTTATTGCCAAGACTTTGCCTTTTTTGTTAGCAGGTGGACAAAAGAAATGTCTCAGTAAACAGAGTGAATGTTTATTTATTGATGTGAATTTTTTTTAGTGATACAATGAATGTGTGCTTCTTATCTACATTTTTCTGTGATACGTCATGTAGAAGGATAGTGAATGTTTTCTCTGCGGCATTCTCATTGAGTGCCTATTTTTTCATCCTCATAACTTTACCTTGAAGTGTCTCAATAGGCCCCACCTTGGTCCACTGTAACTTATTCAGTTAAACACCACTGCCGAGCATACCTACTAGGTGTCCTTTACTTCATAGCATTCCACGTTTGTTGAAATATATCAAATAAGATTGAGGATCAAAATATAATTGATTTCAACCAGGTTTAAGTTTTTCTACGAAAGTCTCCAAAATCTGTCCAAAATTGACAAACTTAGCCTGCTTCTTGAACAAGCTAATTGTTGATAGCTAAATGAATAGATCCCCAAAGACCTCCCGGCATACTGTCTCCTGGATTGTAGATTACAACAGCATATCTGTGTGATAGTACAGTCTAAATTATTCCATTCGCTCCTTGTGCCCAAATAATCCAGGAGCGATATTGTGTCCTCCATGGGCCTTTTATCGTACAGCTACTCTGCTAGTGTAGTGCTGCATGGCCTTTGAAGTATTCACTGAAGCATGAATTAGTATTCATACTATTTGAAAAGCCAATTGGCATCAATATATTACTATATCTCTACTGCAGCTATGTGCAAAAACAGTTTGCTCTAGAAGTATGTCATGCTTTCCATGAGCATTATTAACTGAAATATTGTTGAGTCCCAATCCATGTGAGTGGCTTACCTTGAGAAGGTTGCGTGTTCATGGGAGGATTTAACTGTCCTGAATATAAAGAGAGAAGTTTAACACGGGGGTAAAAGGAGAAAGTTTGAGAGGAGACAAGAGTCCAAATCCACCGTCCAGGCTCAAGATCAGCGATGGCTAAGTATTTCATCAACATTTCAGAGGTTAACTACTGCTAACTTAAGCTCTAACGTCGTCATAGTCAGTTGCAGTGACAAACCAGTAACAGTGTCTTGTAGTGAAAGCACAACAACAGCTACTACTATATCTACTGCCAGCTCAATGGATTCACAGATTCAAACAGTCCTTTGGGCAGACCTTTTGTCCAGCCAAGTACATTATAACACTCCATGGGATTGTGCAATTATCTCTGATATATAGGCCCATCATGCTAAGTGTGCAGTGTTGTCTGTGTGTGTGTGTGTGTCTGTGTGTTTAATGCGTTTGCGAGCGAAGAACATGAAAGAGATTGCGAGGAATGGAGAGCTTTTAGACATTAGCAGTTATCTGAAACACTCGTCTACTTTACCCCAGGTCCGGTGCTAAGTATGTTCTACTCCATAGCACACTGTTTACACCCTGTGTATATCTCCGGCACGTGCATGTAGTACATTAAAAAGACAAGGACACTGCAAGGAATGTCCTGCCACACGCACTGGAGATGAGATCTATGAAAATGAGTTGACTTGTGAGATAAGCTGCAGTATCAGCCGAGTACTGGGGATTGAAAGGAAGAGAAGAAAGGTTGGGAAGGAAAAATACGATAATGAAAGTAAACACTGGCCACACCCTCTTTTGCTGTTTTATCTGATGTGTTTGTGTGTTCTTCTCAAATGTTCTTGTGTACTGGAGCGCCTATGTAACTTTATGTGGCTTCAAAGCGCGGCCTGGACTTTCATTTCCACTCTCGTTACCAAGGACTATTGTGAATAGACAGAAAACGCCTTGAAGAAACCAACAGCACAGCAAGTCAGCATCGTCTGGACCAGGGAAAAGATATCTTTGCAGCATTTCTGCTGTAATCCACTCACAAATAACATTTGAGGACAAACATACACACAAGCTGGACAGTTGAACACATTCAGTCGGTGTACACACACACACTGCCTGTGATGGTCCCACCTGTATCACGACAGAAAGCCAAATCGAACTTGAAGGCAACAAAGTGATTGGTCTTAAACCCACTACTGATGGTTACCGCACGTAGCCATGTAGATAATGTGTTTAAGAGTTAGAGCTGCTTTCAATGATGTCTTGAAATGCCTAAAGCGTCAACTTTAAAACTATCTTGTGCAGATTCCTGTGTAGCAGGGAGTCAACATGTATGCTTGCTGAATTAATACAGTTTTACATAGGAAAATTGTCTCTTAGGTTTGAACTGCTCCAAGGACAAAGGATGGAAGTATTTAAAAAAATCCCAAAGTAAATATGATTTCTATGAGAACTTTAACTTATTTGTGTCATCAGACACTGTGTACATGGAGTGCTTGTTTTTCTATTTGACTGTTATTAATGGCTCACTCGGTGCAGGGGCTGAGGTTTGACTAAAACACACACGCAGGCCTTAGTCAACTAGATTCTGTCTTAATGCTTTAACCAGACAACCACTTCTTCTTACTTTACGTCCTCGGGCTTCTTCAACCACCACATTGCTATTTGTCAGAAATAATGTGTGTATTTTAAAAAACCTGTTGAGAAAAAATACTAAACTATGAAGCAAACTGCCTTACATAAAGAAAGATCTGAACGCTTGTCATGTCCTTCATAAGGAACTTCAATGAATATAAATGGATTTACATACGTACTATGGATAATATATCACTAAAACATCTTTATTATAACATCAACCTCTGTTATGTTTTTTCTCGTGTGATCTAAAGGTCCTTTAGTTAAGATTTTGGAAGAAAATGAAAAGATTTGCCATCTTACATTAATAGTGGATTCAGATCAGCTTTTCTCATGAGGTTATATTATCAGGCTAACCCAAACCACCTTATTCTTTTTCTATTATGTCCTTCACAATAATAATAATCTTTGTGTGTCTGATCTGCACATATTTAAACAGAAAATGATGCCACCAACTCTAAATCAGTGACGGTTTACGTTTTATGAAATTCACTATGGGAGGCCAACCGCAGAAAGTTGCTTCACACTGAGTCCCTACACAAAAAGACAATTGCTTTTAAAAATACTAACTACCAAATGATTTAATAAATGAACATCTCTTTTATGATTTTTAAGCGTGAATGCAATGGCCCGATGTAAAAGCTATTTATCAGTTTATAAAATATCTACACTGCGGTTACATGTGAATACAACAAGGCTGTAACAGACGAAAAGGTGCAATGGTATGTTTAATTTAGCCAACAATTGTACAATAATTTATAATGGGACAATTAAAAGCTTTTAAAGTTAGGGAAGTACTAACTAGCAGCCTTAGCCCATCGCACCAAAAAAGAAAATACTGAAATAGAAATGAAATGCAAAAATACTAACTCATTTACAGGTTTCAGGAGTCATTCGTGCAGCATAGACGCTATACGGTCATGAGAAAGAAGAGGCACCATTAAAATGTATGAATGCATCGCTTCAGCAGCTGTTCTTGTGTCCATTAAAGATGGAATATTTGAATTGAATATGAACCCTTACCTCAATGTTTTTTATGTCCTGCTCGTCTCTTTAAGTGAATCTTGTGCCTGTGTCACCTTTTGTTTGTTAAACCAGCAAAGGGCAAAGTGTGGAAGAGAAACCAGAACAAAACGCTCTTGACTCCTGGTTCAAAGTAGAGTGGGAGACGTACAAACAGACTCTGTATCATCACCATTTCATAACATTTACACTACCCCAGGAGCTGGAAATGTTTGCCTCACCTCTCATTGTCGCATCCTTGCACTCTTATCCCTGCTGCGTGAGTTTGATCTCACTTACCCTCTCTTTTATTTGAGCCTCTCATGTTTCCTTTCCCACACATTTTGTCCTGTGCTCATGCCTCTCCATCCCTCCCTCCTCCACCAGCACTAAGCACCTCAGTAATGCACAGTGGGAGATGAGATTCTTCTCTCAGACGTATTAGCAGTGTAATGCACCCTCTGGTCCGCCACGGTCGGCTGGTTTCCGGTATGGAAGCTGAGGACAGCCGCCTGGCATCCTTCCAGATAGCTAATGGGTATTGATCTACGCTTGTTGTTTGATTATCAATATATTAAACAGAAGCTTGGCTCAAGTTCTCTTTAAGTCAGCCAGACAGAAACTATTACTGCATCCTTAAACCAAAACACTCACATGGGTTATCTCATCACAATGTAAGGTTGCAACTTTTATTTAAAGATTTAACGTAACTAGGGAAAAATCATTAAACGAATGGAGTACCATTTTTTTTTGACAACTGAGTTTCTTTTATTTTATTGAAAGAAACATGCTGTGAATACTTTTTCATTGCAAAATGAGACACATTCCAGTTAGTAGCCTGTCAACATTACCTTTAAATACCAGGTTCATGGGGGAAACCTGTACTGTGTGGAGAAGAAAGCCCTTTATCAACTTCCTCTATTAAAAGCAGACGCAGCATGTTTCCCTTATGTCCTTGGTGCTTTGGATAGTTAATCAGCCCAAACATATATGTATATTGCATTGTTCAAAGTAGTTTTAGGTGTTTACATCAAAGTAAGTAGCAGAAATAGGAAGTGCATAACAGGAGGGCCGGAGCGGGTGAACGGTTGAGAAAAGAAGGATGCCACATTCTGTAGGCTGCTATCCATCATACACCTGTACTCACAACCAAACACACGGGGCCAAGGGTCCTCAATGTCATCTCAGCTGATAAGATGTATTTATAAATGGAACAGCTGTTTAAAGTGAGTGGATTTTAACAACTGGGTTTAATGAGAGGACATACTGTATCTCATAGAATTTGGCAACGCTTACCTGATAAAATAGAGCAAGTATATATAAAATACTATATATAAAAGTATATCAACACAATTTTTAGATAATGTAGATAACGTAAATGGCATTTATATCTTTTATTTCACCTTATTTCTGCAACTGATTCGGAGTCGGGCTATGTAAACAGTATAAACAACATTTCATAAATAAACATGTATTTGACATGCTGAGAAGAAGGCGTTTCCCACAGACCAAAAGGAAATCCACTGCTTTTTGCCTCAATGCTGTTTTACTGTAACATGTGGAGATTCACAAGCTGCCATAGCACTGCAGTGACCTCAACCCCGACCTACAACAGGATTCCACACGAACCTTTCAAAAAATAATAACAATCTTTTGTTTTTTCTTCAAATAAAAGACAAATGCATACACTTATCTAAAGGGTATCAAAAACACAAAAACTCTGCAGCTTTTATGAATGACGTGAAACGGTGAAGCTGAACCATGTACAAGTACAGGGCAACTTAATTCAACTCAAAGTGGCCTGAAGGTTTGTGTTAAACTACACTCCATGGATCTATAAGATAAGTAAGAAAATAAAATAAATGACATATTTTTTCTGTTCCTATTTTTTACAGTATCAGTGTTTCATCACAATAAAAATAAGTCAGCAGCCTTGCAACAAAATACAGAGTTTTCAAAAGCAAAATAAAATCTGTGTTTTTGTCAGACCAAGTGCAATAATTATCACCACAGGGATGAAACATGCAAATTATACCCACCTCCTCTCTGTACCTCCACAGACTCATTGCTCACAGACATGATATGAGGGCTTAAAATATCTCTACTGCATAAATTATCAATGAATACAAAAACTACGTTCGACAGTCCTTCCTGATCTTCATTCTCCTTTTCGGTTTTATGCTTTGGCCTTTGGTCGCTTTTTGTAGTGTCATTCTTCTTCTTTGGTGTGTTTTTACTCTTAGCTTCCAGTTTGCTTTGTCTTACAAATGATCTGTAAAAATGACGCACACAAACACATCGAGTCACCATAAAGCATAAAGCTCAAAGTCAGATGTTGGGGACTGGATCAATGTAAAATAAGATTTAAAGGTGAGCTTTTTAATTCTCCTGAAATTGCTATCTGACATAAAACTAAAGAAAAAAATGAACACCCAATTTGACAGACTTTTCAGATTAAAAGATTTCTTTTCCCGGTCAACATCATTATCCTTGTAAATTGTCACCCCCGTACTCTCTCTGGCCTATTTCTGAGACAGAAATGGGAAACAGATCACAAACAGGATGTTGGCAGGGACAACTTTTGGAGAAATAAAATAAATAGAGGATTGTGAGAGAATGAGTGAAGAACATGAGATTAGGTCTGGTGACATGTCGCCTTGGCTTCATGGAAGAAGACGGCGCAACTCATGAATGTACATATTTTATAAGTGATGAGTGACATTGGAAACTGCTCAACCGTATCCATTTGAATGTAAAAATGCCAGTGACCCTATATGCCTCTGGAGCATCTGGGCAAATTGCTTTCAAGAAACTAGATACACTATCAACCAGTGTTTCAAACTATTCGGAGGAGGAAATAGTGCATCCTTGAAGCTGAGTTCTGACATGTCACATTTATAAACAAATGCAATCAAAATGTAAGAACTAAGGCCTGGAAAGCAAAGAATGTGCAGTGCCACCAGAAGCCTGCAGAGGGAAGCCTATCCATACTGTCAGAAAGGAGCCAGACTGTAGCAACCATAGATATGTATAAAGGCTAGACAAGGTCTCCTCTGAGTTGCCAGCCAACGGAGTCCAACATTGCACAGGGCGGCCATCTTGATACAGGCAGCTGGCTCCCCCATAACATTCTGTTGGCAATGGTACATGTACTTTTTAGATAACTTTATAAACAAACATCTATTTTTGGTTTGTTCTGAACTTCAGAGATGTAGTTATGACACTGTATACGTATTAAGAATTATGTTATGTTAAACCAAACTGTTAAAAACCGGTTGTAAATTAAGCAAGTTATGGTTGTTTAAAAAGTACATGTACCACTACCAACACAATGTTATGGGGGAGCGATCTGCCTGTAGCAAGATGGCCGCCATGTGCGGACTTCTAAATTCCCCTGTAAGACATCTGGCCTTTATATATATCTATGGTAGCAACATCTCCCTAGCCTGGGGCTGTTCGCAGGTCCAGGGGTCAGCCAGGGGTCAACCAGTAGAAGCAGCTGAGCCAGGCACATGTATTTAAACAGTTTAGCCTTTTGACATGCACAACCCCTGGGAAAATATAGGTTCAAAATGGACATATGTGCAATTGCAAAAAAAGTAAAATATCTTGATCAAATGCTGAATTTAAAAGCCATAGTATTGGTTAACCTAAACATATAAAATATAAAAAAATGTAACAACAACATAATATATTGTATATGTATGTGTATTGTCATTAGAAATGCGGAGGGAAGTCATCAAGCGATGGTGGGAAAGAGAGCATAAGTTCACCAGGCAGAGGTTATAGGAAACAAGCCTATTTTAATCCCCTTACTCTCTCTCTCTCTCTCTCTCTCTCTCTCTCTCTCTCTCTCTCTCTCTCTCTCTCTCTCTCTCTCACACACACACACACACACACACACACACACACACACAGATACAAATTCTCTTCGAGATAAAGCGACACAGCTTTGGTTGCAGTAATAAGAGGAAACCGGGATTTTACTAGCGGGGAATTGGCCAAATTAAAGATATCATGCTGCTGCTGTTATATCACTCTCACATCTGGCCTCAGGGTGATTGCCCGGGGCGCCATCATCGTGCGTGCTGTCGGTGCGGTCAGCCCGAAGGTAACAGGGCGCACGTTTTGGTCAGACGGTCCAGTGCGCACGAACCATGAGTGCGTCGTTGCCCGGAGCGCCAAACTTTCTCCAACTACGCGCGGAAGTGTGTAGTATCGCACTGAAGGTAGGCCGCTTCCCTCTCCTCCGAAAGTATATGTTGCTGCATGAGCGGTGTTTTTGTCTGCCAACGGAACCACAGAGACGTCACACTTTAGACTCCTTCTTACTTAGACTCTTTCGTTTCTTCAGAATTTTGATTTTTGATTTGATTTTTTTGATTTGATCGATTTTTTTTACAAAAAGCATTATGCTAACAGAGAGAAATGACGCATTTTTTATCCTTATGATAATTATTCCGTGTATTAATATTTTCTTCTTAGTTGTATGTTTGTTGTGCCCATCAGTCCCTAAATCCCAGATCAAGATTACTTGGTTGTTTGTACATATTACCTCAGAACTGACACCGCGTTTTCCTCCTTTGCATCTCAATTTTTTTCAAAGATATTCAGGATTGAGGGAAACTAAAACAGGCCTGATATCATAGCTTTAAATAGATAGTATTTATTAAATGCATCATGCGTGTCTTGTAAAACCTTGATCTTCAAAGTGGTTGACACAGTCGTCACAAAAATGTAACTTGAAAACGCATAAGATGGAATGCATGGAGCATAAAATGAAGAGCTCTTAATTCTTCCTCCCTTCGGCCCGAGGAAGTAAAGTGCCTCTGAAAACAATACCAGTTCTTTGGTCAAAATGCTCTCATTTTGATGTGTGTCAAAATCACTGACATTTAATAACTCAACCAGTTGAGATTTCATGCATTTCATGTAAATTATGTGTTTACCTCCTTCAGAGTGAAATGTAAAACAAAATATACTGTGGTGTAGGGGTTTGCTTTTGCCTCTGCCGGCATTGTATCCATTTTACCCTCTTTGATCAAAGTCCCAACTGTTACTTATCTCCAAGCAAACCTTCTAAAATCAACATCTCATTCACTCAACAATTAAGCCTTTTGGTTGCGATACTCGTCAAGCAAAAGCCATTAATCCTGTCTCATTTCAACACCCTGGAGGTTATATTATTTGGCTGGTACACATTCACACAATGTCCAAAAAGGTTAGTAAATTGTTAGAGAGAAAAAAAGTGCAAAACAAAGTGGTATGTTTGTATGGCAGACGAGAAGAGCCACTGACTTTGGCATTTGGGTTTGGATTTCGGGGAAGTGTGTTAGTTGTTTGTACGCCACCTGAGATTAGTGATATGTAATAGAGGGTCAGACCAGATGGCCATATTTTCCTAGTCTGGATTTGGCATATTTCTGTGAATGATACAGCTTAATCCCCAATGTGGAGGAGCAAAGGCAGGCTGGAGTGATGACGGCCCGGGTGTGTGTTTCACTGCTTTTGAGGTAAAATGATATGACAACATTTTGGTTAAAGCTTTTGGTTTCGTCAGCTAATACCATGTTACTTACTATATACGTATTTTTTCTCATGGAAATAGGAATCATTTTTTCTTATTTTAGAATCGTTTTTCTTTCCCATTACAGAACCATTTGTCTACAGTCGCTCTAGATGGATGGAGATAAACCAAAACATTATGCTTTCCATCTAATTACTGCAGCACTATTAGGTGTTTATTCTGACTTCTTCTGATTGGAAAGGTATTGGTACTTTAGATCTGAAACATATTAAAAACGTTAATTGGACGACAGTCACAAGCTTTTTTCCAGATATGTTCCCGGATATTTTTGCTGTGTAAATGTAAATGTAAATGTAAAAGTAAATGTTCTTGCAGTAACCTGTGAATTTAATCTTTTGATTGACCCGATGAATGTAGCTCGCATGGTTAGCCTGTAGCATCTCGTCCAGTTGTGTCTTTGTCAAAAGTGAGGCTGTTCTGCTTTCTGGGCTCTGCAGAAAGTGATTTGTGACTGACTGTGAGTGTGTGCATGTGTGTGTGGAGGGGGATGTCTGTCTGTGTCCGTGTGTGTGTGTGTGTGTGTGTGTCTTGTCAAAAGGCCAAGGGAGGATTTTAGTCCCAGCTGCTGTGCACTGGGACTTGGCCCGGAGCCTCCAGACGCACCCATGTCAGCATCAGCATCAGCAGCTTACATCTTACGAATGCACGTAGATCACAAATATGCCCCAGACAGACATACTGGCAAAAATATTTTAAATGTTTTCTAGCATTTTATAATAACGTCCTCTCTTTAATTCAGCGAGATGCGGTTGCATTGAAAATTATGTATTTGTTTTAGTTTTAACTTCCACTCCCTGAATCTGTGATATTTAACTTTACAAAGTTTGTAACGTATATTCCTTTGCTTAATAACACCAAGGATTGGTAAGTACAGTAATTCATGTTCCAAAAGCCGATAATCCTTAAAGGTTATCTTCCACAAACATGATTCTTATGTGTGTAAATGTGTTTAGCATTTGCTCATTTGTATATATGTGTATTTCATATTTTAGTGTAAAATAATTCAGTGATAGATGGCTACAGTTTTTATCAGCTATTAATGCGTAAATTGCTTGCAATATCAATTTAATGTTTATTATGCCTTATTGAAAAAATAAAACAAATTGTGAAAAATCCATTGTTTCATGCCGTACTGTATTGAATACATTGTTTGATTTGACTGAGTCCACATTCATAATATTGTGTACTCGTATATAAACAAGCAGCGGGATCCAGGGAACGATTCATAAAAATCATAAAAATAAACAGTTATTTTTCAACTGATAAACTGTTGTTTATTGTCAAACCAAGTGGAGCTAAACAAAAGTTATTTTACAAGGACTCTGTGGCCTGTTTCTCATCTCTTCTCGGCAGCTAGCGTAGTAGTTAGAGGTAGAAATATATGTGTATATGTGTGTGTCTGTCCGTGTGCACGCATGCGTGTGTGTGATGTGTATGTGATGGCTTGCTGGTATCTGTGTTGACCTGACAGAAGACATCCCTCGGCTTATAGCACTGAGCTAGCCAGCCCGCATTAATCTGCTTAATAGGGTAAAAAAAAAAAAACTACAGGCTCCAAACATACGAGCTCTACCAACCGATGCCCTTACACAGTGTGGAGACCCCCACCACAACAAAGAGACATGTCAAAAGGTCCAACATACAATGGCGACCACAATGTGTTTACTAGTACCCAGAGGAGAGAAGGTCCTTTGACAAAATGAAAAGTTAGGCTTTCACACTTTTGTGAGCGCACTTAACAGAATCACCAACTTGGCTCAGGCAGCAAACATCTGGCACACTGCAGATGTATTACTGTGATAATGAATATCATTCCGTAAAGTGTTTTGGAATTTGAACTAATTATTTAGCGGTGGAGGCTTTAAATCACAGTTTAACTGCACGCTACATCTATATCTATGTAGTATATAGTTTAGCGTAAAGTGTGTATGGATCCGAACATTGCTGTAGTATAACAAATATTAGATATCACAAAGCATAGAAACCTTCTGTCGATAAACTGTCAAAAGAAAAAAGTGAAAGAAATAGATCTTGGGAGAAATATTAGGCAAATATCCACCAAAGTTTCCAGGCGCCTCACTGCTGATGACACCAGCAGACCTGAGATCCACTTAGATTACGATGTTGGGATTTTCAACATGGTCAGCTGCAACACTTGAAATTTTAATGAAGCCTCTGAAACCTCAAGCCTGAGTGGAATTACTTTGGATACGCACAAACACACACACACACACACACACACACACACACAAAGACAAAAACATGTGAAACCAACAAAAAAACTCCTTCCAGCTACCGAGATGAGGGGTCGGGAGACGTTATCGAAATCTTTCTATCCTGCTTAACTCTGTGGCTCTTTTATACTTTAAGTGACCTGAAGTCCGCGGGCTAGTTTCTCCTTAGCTAACAAAGAGTCAACTAAAAAAATAGAAACGTTGTTTGTTGTCTCTTCATGGGGAGGATGTGAATCTAATCAGCTCAAAAGGAGATGTGCTTCAGTTCACTGTCCCTTTGTCTTCCCACCACTGAAAGTTAATATGAATCCTAAACGGATGTTTTTCAATCGTTTGCACATTGTGCAGGTTTGTTTAAGTGGAGACAACGCTTTATTATTATTATCAACATTTTAATTTGTAGGGCGTAAATGTCTTGTCCACTTGCTTCTCTTGGCGACTGTAGCAAAGGATTGTATAGTTAAGCTAGATCTGCTTGAACATCTGCTCGTGTTTACACATGTGGTAACGAGGTCAGCTTACTAAAATGCACAGTTGTTCAGCTCAGCTTGGGAAAACGTTTAACCGGTAGACTCCCATATTGTTTCACATGTATTTTTCTTTCTGCTAACCATGTTCTGCCTTTCTTTGTGTTGCAAGAGTTGATGTCCAATGGGTTACTCCCACTACGAATCCCTGTGTATAAATAGAACGGCAAGAATAGGACCACCACATTAGTCAAATGGAAGTAGGTTCATTTTAAATGCATCACAAATAATTCATTCTGGTTATATAATGTTAAAATGCATGGCATTGTCTTGACAGTAGTAAGAGTTTGTATTTTTGCATCCATTCATTTAATCTAAATAGTAGAATGTATATGCTAATATGCATCCTTTTAATAACAAACAAAGACACAGCATGTGTCATGTGATCTAGAAAAACATTTTCTAAGTGGAAATTGAACAAGACATGTTGATATACAGCGTTGACGAAACTCTCCACAGAAGTTGTTCACATCTTCTCTAGAGAGAGTGTTTCAGCAACACAAATTATTCTCACTGCAGTTACCAAAACATACTTGGTGGGTGAACTTAAGAGATTACATTTCTCCTTCTATAAAAATGCACAATATCACACTGAACCTTATTAAAATTACATTTTAGAACGAGTGAAAGAGAAAGAGTTCATGGAGGGGATTATATCGTTGAAAGTGAAAGGTAGAAAGCTGTGTGCGGTGTGAATGTCTTCCTCTCATCAAGCTCCCGACAGTGTTGAACGTGTAAAGGGAGTTGTTAAACATGATTTATTTATAAGTCAGATATGGATAAAGCCTTTTTGTGTGTAGGGTGACTAAGCCAAGCATGAGAGATGTGGAGATCTAATCGCTCCATTGCACCCTAGAAAGCCTTGAACACTCAGATATATGTATAAATATATATAAATGTATATGTACGTATATATATATATATATGTATACACTCAGATTCCAAAACGTCAATGGCACAATATTGACAGGATCATATCTGATTCTTCTCTTCTCGCATGTGTGTTGTGTGTGTGTGTGTGTGTGTCTGTGTGTCTGTGTGCGTGCGTGGCCACAGCTCTAGTTTCTACTCTAGCATAAGGTTACCCAATGTCGTCAGTTATAGGTCAGTCGTTCTTATATAAATTGAGGAAGAAGCAGAGGCAGAACTTGTAAAGAACCCCCTTTTCTCCCTCTCCCGTTTTTGCACTTTACAGCATATTGTACACACACTTGGTCATTAGACTTCTTGCTAACGAAGGTAAGGTGTGTGCTGCTTGCTGGTTTTTCTGTCTATGAGCTTGTCTGTGCAGTTTAGTTCCCATTTTTCCAGGGTAATGGGATTTCTTCAGGGAAGGAGGAAAATTACCAGGAGATGCGCGATGCCTAGTTCCACGTATTAATACAAAGGCAACTGTGTTCTTCTGCGGCTTCTATTTTAGAATCATGAGAACGTTCTGCTCGTGGTTTAGGAAGGCAGGAGGGAGTCATTTGAATTAACATTTTGCATGGTGTTTCATCACATCATCTTATCCTAGGTGCAATCTTACAGGGCATCTATAACTATTTTGAGTGAGCCCTCTTCCTGTGTGCAGTAATCCATCACAGAGCTTGTGTCTCTCCACCCTTGTCCTAAGTCGTTTCCTCTGCTCTTGATAAACTGCCCCTCTTGTTGTGGTGCAACAAGGAATGCTCCTTATCGACTCAGACCCCCCCCCTTTCTTTCCTTTTCCCAGAACTATTGCAGAAGTATATTACAGAAGCATCACTGGAAGTACTTTGGGTTGAGTTGGTGACTCATCTCTAGAATTAAACATCTTTATTCGGCTTCACCACACACACACACAGACACACACACACACACACACACACACACACACTCAGAGAAATGCATTCACTCTAATTGATGCACACCCCAAGGAGCAGCTTATAATACAAAAGTCACACTAGCGCCAGTAAATTTAAATCCTGATACAGATGCATGGCACTATGTGTGATTTCTAGTAATGTCACAGTGTGGTGTAAATGTGACCTCAGGTGTCTGGGGCAAGCTTAGCCCATGCTATCACTGTACGGACACTTAATAATGCACTAATGTATGCGCAGCCCCAGTTACCCTGAGACACTTGCACCTTGATTCCCTTTTAGCAGGCGTCCGTGTGTGTGGGCATGCACGCCAGTGAGATATTGTGTAGTTAGGAGTTGAAAAAAATGTGTTGTATGTCATGACAATTAACAAACAATTAACCATTGACAAAAACACACCGACTCTCTTTCTCTGCCTCCCTCTCTGCAGGTGGTGACGCTTTGCTGAAGATCCCTGGCACCCTGCTGCTGATTCTGGTTTCTGAGCCTCCCACCTGTGCATTTGTGTGTGTGTGTGTGTGTGTGTGTGTGTGTGTGTGTTCGGGTAGTTGGGAGACTGTGTTATCCTGGGATACCAAGGCTTCATGGTGGCGGAGCTGCAGCCATGGACGTGGCCCTGGTAGACTTTGAGAGCCTAGGTAATCTTAACGGCAGCTCTGAGGATGAAGTGGACACCTACGCTGATGAGACCACCGCTCTCGCGGTGGACATGCCGGAGCACGGCAGCCCAGGCAGCAACCGCCTCCTACGGGCCTCTCACCTCACCTCCTGCTTTTGGGAATCCACCTCGTCGATGCCCATTCCACAGACACAGACGCTGGAGGTTCCCCAGTCCCCGAACACGCCGACTCTAAGCAGACAAGGTCACAGCAGCTGCGCCAGTATGATCTCCAACTGGAAACTGCTGCTGAACAGTGAGAGCGCTAAGGAGAGCGAGACGATCTTCAGCCGGCTGGCAAAGGAGTGCTGCGAGGATTTGTTTGTAGATAAAAAAGGGCTGGACGACGGAGATCAGAAAGTCATCATCAACATCGCCGGCCTTCGTTTTGAGACGCAGCTCAAAACGTTGGATCAGTTTCCCGAGACGCTGCTGGGCGATCCTTCAAAAAGGATGGACTACTTTGATCCGATGAGGAATGAGTACTTCTTTGATCGGAACCGACCGAGCTTCGACGGCATCTTGTATTATTACCAGTCAGGGGGTAAGATCAGGCGTCCGGCCAACGTTCCTTTGGATGTGTTTGCAGATGAAATCGTGTTCTACGACCTTGGAATCGACGCCATGGAGCAGTTCAGAGAGGATGAGGGATTCATAAAGGATGTTGAGATCCCTCTACCCAACAATGATATGTACAGGCAATTCTGGTTGCTGTTTGAGTACCCAGAGAGCTCAAATGCAGCCCGAGGTGTAGCGCTGGTGTCCATTTTTGTTATTGTCATATCTATCTTTATTTTCTGCCTGGAAACGCTACCAGAATTTAGAGATGAGGCCGACCCAATTGTTTCCACAGCGTTACGGCCTGTCAACCAGTCTAGAATTCACAATTCTGGGGCTCCGTTTGGTGAAAAGCCCACAACTTTCTCCGACCCGTTCTTCCTCATCGAGTCTGCCTGCATTGCTTGGTTCTTCTTTGAACTGTGTGTGAGGTTTGTGGTCTGTCCCAGCAAAAGGGAATTTTTCAACAACATCATGAACATCATTGACATTATATCCATAATCCCTTATTTTATTACCGTGCTTACAGAACTGATCACAACGCCACAAGAGAACTCAGGCCAGAACATGTCTTTGGCCATCCTGCGTATCATCCGTCTGGTGCGGGTGTTTCGCATATTCAAGCTCTCACGTCACTCCAAGGGGCTGCAGATCCTGGGGCAGACCCTGAAGGCCAGCATGCGTGAGCTTGGCTTGCTGATCTTCTTCCTCTTCATCGGGGTCATCCTCTTCTCCAGTGCGATCTACTTTGCCGAGGTGGACGAGCCGAACACGCAGTTCGTTAGCATTCCTGACGGCTTCTGGTGGGCTGTTGTTACCATGACAACTGTAGGCTACGGGGACATGTGTCCCATTACCATGGGGGGGAAAATGGTCGGCACCTTGTGTGCCATCGCGGGTGTGCTGACTATCGCTCTGCCGGTTCCCGTCATTGTCTCCAACTTTAATTACTTCTATCACAGAGAGACGGAGGCAGAAGACCAGTTGCCCTCGAAGGAGGCTGCCGACCAAGCAATGAATGCTGATACAGCTGCCAAAGAGAGTAGCAGCATTTTACTCAGTAAAGCCAACGGCATCTGAAGGACCAACAAAGGGAAATAACAAATTAGAATTATTATAACCATTATAATACTAAGACTTTTCCACAACGTGAGAAATGTCAATACGAGGACGTGACATGCTGTGATTTTAACTCAAATAAGTGTCTAATGGGATTAATGAGATCAAATATTTGTACTTAGTTTGATATGGTTATCGATAAATTATGCGACTTACCTATTTTGTGTCTAATTTAAAAATGAAAAGACCAGCTGTACAATTCAGCTATGTTCTTGTTCAGGGTTGTATGTCAGTGTAGATTTAGGACTCTTCTTGCATAGGAACATAATGGAATACAACGCAATGTACCTGTCAGGGTCCTCAATTAGTAACTTGTCTATAGTTTGAGTTTTACCCAACTGTATTTAATCATTTAAAACTGAATAGCTGTTGTATTCTATTATCTTCTTTGATGAGTAGCGTGGATAATAATACTCCACTAAAATCATTAACCAAACTCTATGATAGTGGGGTGCCTTAATTTATGTTAATATATTGTTCACTTTGCCATACAGTACATCATTTCACTGTAATACATGTTTATGATGCACATGTGCTCAGTATTTTTGCTGGTTTCGCTTGGTTGAAAATGCAGATGTTCGATTCCTGCTTTTGAGTTATTTTCCACAATTCTGTCAAACAAAGAAATGCATTCTGACCATGAATGCAACGCATATCTAGAGTGGATCCCATTTGTTCTACGCTCATGATAAACATTTTTGTCAATTACTGTTACTGGTATTGTTGAAGTTTTTATTTCAGAGACACCGTGATCAGAATACTGAAATTGAAAGCTTAAAGTACGAAGCCAAAGATAATTGTTGAATAAAGGGACCTGTTATGAGGCAGCACGCACCACAATGTCACATGGTATTTTTTATTTTTGGAGGGCCATGTGTTAATTATGCTGTATCGGTTTAATCTTCTGGTGGTTTGTTTGATGAGTATTTAATTTGTAACACATTTTATGGTGATGATAGGATTCTTGGGAAGAAGAAAAGGGAAAAATCGATTGGGATCCAGGAATATGATTAAAAAAACAACAGACCTCTGAACTTTGTGGCCGAGCATATGATCAAAGATTTTGTTAATGTGTATGTGCATTCTGTGTGTTTTTCGACAATGATTTCTTTTTAAGATAAACCCTCACCTGTAACGTCACTGTCATGATGTATAGTGTATTCATGGTGTATTACACCAACAAGGACGTTACACTGTATTTGTATAAACCATAACAGTTCGATAAAAGGTTTTATTATTGTATGCAACATATTCTTGATATTTAAATCATGTCCTCTCCTGTTTAATGTGAGCTGATGTGTTAATAACAACAACAATAGGATGCCAGTCTTCGGTTGACATGGAGCACTGATGTTAATTCCTGTTACTTCACCCGATTTCACCCACTTTTCTCTGGGCTCACGTCAACACCTCCTCTCAGGCCCACGAAGGCGCCTGGACTAAACGTATACATTCAGTAAATATCAGTAATATTTATTTACTATTTTTCAGATGACACAAAAGTCACCAACGGGATACTACATTTTTTTCTGTTGGGTATTTTGCAAAGACGTTGCTGCAGTATAATCAACCAAATGAAATGAAATGAAGAAGTGCTGTTGGTGAGTAATCGTGCAGGGAAAAAATGGTTCAGAGTAAAGGACATATGTACATGTCCACCACACAACAGATAGCAGACATCTCATGATGACACGAGGGACAGCGACGCCATTTCAGCATTTTAATAGAAACGTTTCAGTTAACAGTTTTAATGTGCTTGTGTGAAACCACCCATGGTTTTAATGCTAAATTAGGCGAAAATGTGTAATCTGTTTGTGACTAATTAACACAAAACACTGTGCCGCCACATACCACAATATTCATACTTTATTTTCCATGTTCATGCAGAATAGGTGATTCAGGCACTATGTTACATTTACTCTTGTAACATTTCTGATGAAATTCAAAACGTTTTGATTTGCAAAAAAAGTCTAATTAGCATTGCAGATTAACACAAGCACAGTGCAGTAAAACCAGTTGCATTACGGCCAGGAAAACCTAAACCTATACACGAAACCTAAATCTCAAACAAATATATGACCCAGATTATTAATAAAGGAATCAGGTCCGTCCGAGGACAGAGAATGAAAACGGAGCTGGCGCTGAAAAGAGAGAACGGGGAGATAAATGACTCTGGGGAGAAGACGGGAGTTGAGTTCACACGCTATACGGCGTCGCTGGTAAGACACCGCTGGCCACATAGATAAGTTACAAGCAAGGTCGGACAGAGGTTGGACACAAACACATCTGCGTTAACACACACACACACACACATAAAAAGACCTTCTGCTGTGTGTTGGCATCACTTTTTAAAAATATTTTTTCTTGAGGTGAACTTATTTGAATATTTTTGAATACTTTATATTTTGTCAGTTTTTTATAAACCAGACTGCAGTGATGCTTTACTCAAATCAAATACACTTAAGGAGCCTTAATCTTGGTCCTTTCACGGTCAATAAACTGTCTGATCAAAGAGCTGACAATCCACATATCCCTGTCAAGTGCTTAAAGATGCATGAGAGCGCTCCGTCATTAACAAGACGCTGCGATGGAAAGTTCCACGGCGGAGTGATGGCTGCGAGGGAGAGAGTGAGGAGAGGAGGCAGGAGACGGGGAGAGTTTGCCTGACACGGAGGAAAGAACCGGCACTCAGATGGTTTATATTTAATGTAGGTCCTGCCTCCTCTGAACATTATACGGTGTGTTTGTTTTCAACTATAATTGACTGTGTCCGCTGATAATAGATCACTGTTACAACATACACACATGCATTTCTGGAGGGGTCCTGATTTCAGTGGCTCGGGGAAAAGAAAACATGTGCGTTTTGTAGAAAAACACAATATTCTTTCTCTGGATTTTCCCACCGTTCATATTCATACCACTTGGAATGAGCCTCACCAGTAATCAGTAATCAACACTAGTCCGTGTCAGAAGCAAAATGGAACACGGACACAAATTTTATGACATTAAAAATGTTTGGTAAAAACAACAAGTTGGCTCTTATTACATTGTTATTATAATTGTGATTTCTTTCCCGCCTTCTAATTGTACTCTGACCCAATTTGATTAAAATAGGAGCCCGTTAATTAGATGTACATTGGATAAAGGATTATCTTAAAGATTTTTTCACTCACCACCGTCTCAAGTTCCATTACTGCACCCGCAAGATAAATCTGCGTGGGAAAGTGAAACTAATTTGCTTCCCTTCTCTCATTTGGCTACCAAGGGGGCATTTTTTCTTAACTAGGCCCTAATTTTTGAAGTAGGTATTCGTGAGGTTCTTAACCAGCGAATAATGAAAAATAGATGGCAGTTGGCATGGATGCAATTGTCTCGACTGTGCGTCAGGACAAGTTGGCCACCACCTCCTTATTTACCAGTCACAAGAGAGACCGAAACCAGTGGTGGTTAAAATGTCGTCTTGTGAACCCACCTCAGAACAGAACTTTGTTTCATTGCAGCCAGTCATGGGATGCATTTGTTGTAACCTCTAACTTTTCCTTGCTGGTAAAACTCAGATGGTGGAAAAGTACAACTCAATGGCCAATAAGACCTAATTATAATTAAAGAATTAAGTATAAGTTCAATTTGACCAAAGAAGATGTGCCCAAACATTTGACTATGTATGAAGACAAAAAAAGATCTGCTAACAAATATTTAAAAGTGGACCGACAGGAATCACACTCGCATGTTACTCTATAGGAGACAGTTTACATCAAAAGTCTTTTTTTTTACAGTTACAGGAAAAAAGGAGATAAATCACAAGAAAACATAAGTAGTGAGAGCGGCTAGAGATGGAGATAACGTTGCATTAGCCTCAATTTATTTACTTCATTGTCTTGTTCATTGCCTTTGATTGCTTTGATTTTTATGGAATATTATGTGGTTTTAGTACCATACAATTTTTATTTAGTGATCAGACGGTTTGATTCCTTTTTATGTTGTGTAATTTGGTATCGGCATCAACTAGCAATCAGGCTACTTTTTCCAACTTGTTCATATTATAATTTTAAGTTTTAGGTGACTGATAAGATGAAGAAAAGAAGAGACATGAAGATGGAAGGCTGCCAGTCTGATTCACAAAGACTGTGTTCCTTCATCATCATCATGACTGGGTTTTTTAATCTAATCAACTACACGCATTTGGAAGAAGAAAAAGCGGGAGGAGGAAATAATTAGGAAAAGAAACAATCTGCTGTTGTTTACAGAGGACATCAGCTGAGGACACACACACACACACACACACACACATACACACAAAGAACACACACCCATTCATTACAACTTTGTCGTGTTCCCTACTGAAAACCTTGCAACATCTGTTTAGGTCTGCCTGTTGATTGGGTGGAAAGGATTAATCTAAATACACACGGCGAACAGATCAGATTCTTCAAGACAAACAAACATACTGAGTGATAGTTGCCACACGCAGGTCTTAAATAATATTCTACAACCTCTTTATCAATTAATGCTGCCAGCTTTGACAAGCTGCGCTTTAGGATGCTGTCAACACATCTGAGGTCAATTGGAATCATTTTCACAGATATTTCTAGATAAAAAGACTTATTTGAAAAAAATGACCAGCGGATGGCGCTCAAGGAAAAGTTCACGATGAGTCCGAAAAATTATTTTTCATTCTAAAAGTGGTTGAGATGTTTCAGTCCCGGCCAAAGTGGTTCTCAAACTGACCTTAGAGATATTCCCCTTAGACAGAATTGTGATACTAATACTCTTGAGATGGTAATATTTCAAGAGGGATTTAGGGCTAATTCAGACATACTGTATTGGGTAAATAATATTAAATTAGTGTGCACGTGAGTTGAAGAGGGGGAGTGGAGTATTTATGTTGACAATACAGGATTTTGAGAGTGTGTCACACACTCAAATAAACCTACAGTAAATTGCTTAAACAAACATTGAGCTGATGACATGAGTAAGGATTAATGCCGGATGAAAGTATATCTGTAATACATTGAACCTCAATCGAGGGTAATGGACATATGCACAGACTTATATATGTGCACACTTATTATGTAGACGCGTTAATTACTATGCCTCGCTTTTGTCTTTTCTATCCTCAAAACCTTAAGCCATTTGATATTTGACAGATACAAGTGTTGCTAAGAGACCAATTTCTGATTTGTTTTGCTTAACGGTCTAGTGATCTATGTTTTGCATAACAACAAGAACAAAAGCATGACCGAAACGCATGTCAGGCGGTAAGAGTCACAACCTCTCATCGTCGTCTCACAGATTATCCTCTTGTCTTCACTCCGTCTGTATTTGATATGATTTTCTCAAACCAAATTTGTGCGGTTCTTGATGGCTGTTTTTTTTTTAATCAAGAGAATTTTTTTCTGCTCATCCTGAATGTTTCCCCACAGACACCATACTTTGTACCCTGACTGCCTTTACTAGGCCAGCTGGTTTCCGGCTGACTGGCTGGATCAGGGGCTGGTGTAGCACCGCAGCAGATGTGTGCGTGTAATCCGTGTGACCCATCCACACTCATTATATTAATGGATCTACCTGCAGGTAACAGGCCATCTGTATTAAAAGGATATGGAGCACAGATATCAAATAGTCTTGTCCAGCATCATGAGCTATAAGAACAACACAGACATTGTGGTGTAGCTTAGGGGTTTGATTCAATTCAATTCATTTTATTTTGTATAGCCCAAAATCGCAAATTGCAAATTTGCCTCAGAGGGCTTTACAGTCACGTGCGACATCCTCTGTCCGGAAACCCTCACATCGGCACAGGAAAAACTCCCCAAAAGTAGACATCATGAACTGCAATCTCTAGTATGAACTACAGATTGCAGTTCAATCTGTAAAATATCTCTAAAAGGTGTTTATGAAGTGTGAATTTGGTGGAATTCACCTTTCAGCTGATACAGCCCTTCACAAGGATACAAAAGGAGGATTTTCACTCTGTCACACATAGTTAATTAAACTGAAAAGTATACTGCTTTAAGTAGCAGCAGGTACAATGTAAAAGGAGTCTAAATTCACAACTATAGTTCATCTTTTTTATGTTGGTTTTATATGTATATTCGCTAGAGCAAGACAGACTTTCTGATTCCACAGCACTTGAATTGCCAATCAAACTGTTTGTGTTCCACCTTGTGCTCAATGCTCCAGCTTGTCAGAGTTTTGCTGAATTTACTTTACAGATGTCCAAACATTTAGTGTCAACATCAAGAACTTAGTTTAAGGGTTGTAATTGAGGAATTATAAAAGAGATGAAAGAGATTAGACAATTTAAATGGATGTGTGCAACGATTATTGAGATAGGGAGCTCGGCAGGATGGGATATTTCATTTGAGAAAGAAAAAGGGTCTTCATCAGCGTTAAGATTGTTTTGCACCGTACACTTGATTTAACAGCTGGAGCAGTTTTATTTACCAATGTTTTTACAAAGAAGTGGAGGCTCATTTCTTTATGAGCACTCAACATGATCCCAAAAGCACTGTGATGATAATTACAGTGGAGATGAAAGGAAATAAATGTTTCTCTTCTGTACAGTGATGCCTAACATTGCCTAGCTGACCCTCACAGCCACTTCTGAAAGGGAAGTTCAAACATTACAGGGTCTTAATAGAAAACCAATGAACAGTAGCTGAGTAGAAGCGAATGCTTTCATTCAAGGGAAAGGGAGAGAAGGACGTCAGTGTTTGTCACCTCTCATGAGGAATTGAAATTAGGAACGCTCTAGATGCCCTGCAGCGTTAATCACAATGTCTGGAATGAAGATAACTAGAACGTATGAATTGATCATTTTTCACTTAAGTCAGCTGATGAACCACTCGCGTTACTGCTCTCGTCGCAGTGACTTTTTCTGAGTTGTTCTGCTCATTTGGCTTTTCTCTCATCTCCTGTTGTGACATCAGTTTCATTATCTAATGTACTGCTACTATTCTAGTACATATGCAGCACAATCGGGACTGGAAGAGAAATGGGAGACAAGACGAGAAGCAAAGTGATACATTTATTATTTTATATATTTACAAAGTAACGGAAGTGACTATTCAGTAATGAACGTTTATGTGGCACAGTAGAGATAGAGAGAGAACCCTAACCCCTGAACCCCACCTTTACATGTACGACAAAAGAGCCAGGAAATAGGACACAGGGCCACCTAGTGGATTGGAGGAGCCGTCACGTGTGAAATCAAACGTAACCTGAACTTTGAGAAACGTCATCGTTCTCTCTAAAGGAAACATGCACTCCAAAAAGTGTAGTGTTACTAAATACAGGTGAGCAGCTATTCAAAGAATACAGTGTTTACATTTCTGCTGGGTGAACTAAAAAAATGAAATCATTGGCCTTCTCTACATATGGTACAGTATTAGTATATTCTTATCCTGTGATCTTCCCAATGGGAAAAGAAAGAAAGTTATATTGAGGAGGAGTTGAGCTTTTCAAATTGGACTTTTATCAGCCACTGCCACAGCAGGATGGGGGGCATCACCCTAAAACAAGAGGAATCCAGTCATTTCCACTCGGGACATGAGGTGTTACAAAGGAAATATCAGTATACCTCATGAAAGCAAGCGGAATGAAAAATCTGAAGTGAAATAAGTAAAGTGAGATGCAGAACGCATCAGACATACTATAAGAGTAATAATTCAACTGAGAAGTGGTATTACCTGTCTTCTATGTTCTTCTTGATGGTACAGACAGATATGTTGAAAAGAAATAATGTAAAATGTCTCAGTCCATGCCAAGCCCAGAACGCAAACTCAGGAACCTGCCGGAATAACATCTCCAGTCTGGAGGACAGAGAAAAGATCTGATGGAATCAGCCATGACCATTTCACTTTCAAAATACTGGACTAGTTAGTCATTGAGAATGCCACGTCTCTTGATAGATAGAAACTCTTTCAATAAGTTACTTATAAGCACTTCCAAAACATTGGCAAATTATTGATAGAGTAGGATATGCCGTTAAATATTGAGTACATGACTGTGACAAGACATGTGTGTAGACTTGCCAGGGTTGAGTGTAACGTGGGTTGAATTGGAATGGATTAGTTGGTATAAATGCATGAATTTCTCTATAGACTTTTCTATAGTTTGACATTTCCTAAAATGTGTGTATTTGCTTGCTTGCTGAGAATGGATGAAAGGTTTGGCCACACTGTGTACGCACGTTACATTTGAAGCTACAGCCAGCAGACCGCCTGGGGGGAAAAATAGCTAGTCTGTCTCGATCTGAAGATCAAAAAGGTCAGCTTTCTTGCATCATATTTAACAGACAAATGTGTCTGTTCTTCTCCTCGAAATCATAAAAAGTTTTCAAAATGTTAAGATAAAGTCTGAGATTATTCATTCACTTTTCCGGAGGGGGGTTTTATGAGAGTTTCAGAACACAAAACTTCCCCGTCCTCAATGGTAGTTGCATGTTTGTCGATGTTGTGTAGGCTACTGAGTGCTCAGTGTAATTATTACCTGTGCCTACCGCGGAGTAACAGGTAGAACGACAGCATGAGAGGAAGGAGCAGGTGGGACAATATTCTTGCAGGGAGCCCGAACATGCTCAGATAGGTCCCAACGTTTCCCAACAGGACTGAAACACAGATTGAAATGATTATTTTATAATTACTTTTTGCCTTAGTGGATTGCTTTTATTTAAATACATTTTCTGACAAACTGAAGACCCATTTTAATTTGAATTGTATCTTTTTTTAACAACAGGATATCAGAACAGGCCGTACCGCACTGCTTGGTGTGTGTGTGTGTGTGTGTGGTCGAGTGTGAGTGTCCGTGCTTGCCGTACCATTCTTAACGACGTCAAAATCGAGGGGGGGTTCTTTGATCGTTGGACTTTTGTACAGTTCACCCTCGTCAGGGCTGCCTTTCTGCATACAGCTATCGGTTATAAAGGTCGTCAGTGCAGCGGCCTCCTTTTCCTCCTTCCTCTCCTCCTCTGCCTTCATGCCAGTCTCTAGACTCGTCCACGTCCGGTTACAGTTAAGAAACCCTTGGGGCGCTTTGTGTATCATCAAATACGAGACAACTGCGAAAAAAGGGAAAAACATGAAGAGGAATTAAGAAAGTTAGTTGGATGCATTTTGCACATAAGCTCAACAGTAGTCTGTCTATAAAGGAGGTGAGGTCTCCAAGGAACCAGGTTGTTATAGCTGTCTCAAGGTTTGCATATGTCCCAAACAAGGAAGCTCTGATGATGTCACTTAGGTGAGACAAAATAAGTTAGAATTTTGAAAGCAGTACTTATAATATTGTAGATGGACTTATTATCCAAGTGGGCCTTCTAACAGTGTGCAATCTACCAATTACGCAGGGTTTGCCAGTCAACTCACCGTTGTTCTGAAGGAAATGAGTAGCATCCTCGTAGCCGTTGTGGTAGGCTTGTTCCAGAGTCTAAAGGGCACAAATGAAAGTCTCACAAAAGGATCTATGAGCAGATTCATAAGGATCTATCAACACGCGTAAGAATCATCTTTGTGATGATTTGGAAGTATTCATTGAAACTTTTAGAGTAACAGAAATGTTTGTGCGTTATTATATGAAGACATTGCGTAGCGCAAAATCAGATTATCTATATAAAGGATAAAACACAAACATGTTTCTCAATCATCATTTGGGTCTTACCTCTAAAGCGAAAGGGTAGAGAGCATTAGCGATTCTGATGCAGTTGGCCATGTTTCCCTTTAAGGTGCAGCCACTCACCACCATGTCCCACGTGCACGGTGTGTCGGAGGGACAGATGTCCATCTCTCCAGAGAACGGAGACACCGTCAACGTTCCACCGTACGGTGCAGCCTGCGCATGTGCCACTGGCTGCATGCTGCTGAATCCCCCATCCACGTAATACTGTGAGATTAAATCACAGACATTACAGTGTTGATCCGACTACGGGCTTGAAGTAAGTTTGTGAAAAGGCTACAAAGACTCACTTCTCCTTTGAAGGATGGAGGCACCATACCGCAGTACCCGGGCACAAAGCAGCTGCATAGCAAAGCCTAAGGAAAACATGGGAATAAAACAATTCATGGGTTTTTCTTTCTTGGTTTTCTTGCCTCTAACCTGCTCAGGTTTCTTGGTAAAGGATTTGTGTGTGAATCTGCAGTGTCAACTTGCCTGCACAACGTCCTCTTTGGATTGGAACTCACACATTACAATATGTTTGTAATCACTCAGGCGTGTCATGGACACATAGAGACGCCCATTAGCCAGCTTGTGTGCATCACTGGGAAGATGTTTGTGTAAAATATGCTCTAACCAGTGGAAGACATTAATTGAGGGATTAAACGGTCCAAGTGCAAAAGCCTTCATCTGTTTGGCAAAATAGAGCATCTCATCCCGAATATTAACTGTAAGAAAGGAGACGGGGAGTCAGAAACTGTGCATTATATTCAGCGTTGGAGCAGATATATGAAGAAAGGTAAAGACACTTACTCATGCTCATTCCACACACTACGGCGGCTGCAACCAAAGAACCCGCAGATGCCCCCAGAACACAAGGCGCTGTGCTCAGCATCCACGGCGCATACGTTAAGAGGGACTGGGCCACCCCTAACTGGTAGGTAGCCATGAATCCCGACCCGGAGAAGGAGATGGACGGAGGAACCTCACGACGATGACAACTGGAAACACCCGGTGCCATTTCCAGACGAATTTTAACAACAACCTTTAAAGTTCCAAGTCGTAGCTGGAGCAGAAGATGAAATCTGTGTCAAACAGTCCTCTGCTTCTTGAAGGCAGTTAGAACAGGCTGAGATGAGTTATTCAGTGGAAAGTGGCTGACGCGTTTTTAAAGAAAACTTAATTAGATATACTATATTGGTCATGGCCATGTGATACATAGGACATACAACCCTCTCATGACTATCCGTTACAAATCCACAAAGCGAAGACGCCGGCCGGTTTTTATTGGATAACACTCAATAAACACATTCAACATGACCCCTTTTAATTTTTTTTAATTTTTTTGCACAGAATAAAAGGAAAAAGTAGGATTTCACATTCATGTTTTTTCAAAAGGACAACAATTGGAGAACTCACTCAAACCACCAAAACACTTCATACAAATCTAAAAAATAAGCTGTTTGGACCGAACAGTGGAAGTTATTCTCACTCAAAAAGGCTGTAATAAAAAACAAATTAATGAGGAACTTTTATCTTTAAAGTCTCAAGATTGTCTTACATGATTTAGTGCAGGCCTGAGGGAATACAGAATATGCAATACTAACACATGTATCGTACGCTGGAAAACACTGGAAATGATAGGCTACCAGAATGCACACTCTATTTATAACCGACAACACAATACATTTCAATGCAAAAAAGAACTCCACCTTGTTTCATCCTACTCACTGAAACTACATTCTGCAGGACTGATACAGTTTATGATTTTGTGTATAGGTTTTGTGATTGTGTTGATGTTAAGTTATTAAGTTTATTTGGCTATTTACATATTGATGGGATTTCTATCACAATTTCAATCGTCCAGTAGTGTCTTCTGATAAGTGATTAAATTAAAGCAATATCAAAATGCATTATTGCCCCCCCCAAAACACACACTGAACATTGAATTTTGTTAAACCTGTATGTGCATGGGTCATTTTCTGAACACATATCTGCATTCAATCATGTAATCATCCGTGTTGTTGTATCCTACAATGTATTCGGGGGATCTAATAAGACCATTTTGTTTTCTACGAAGGATGATGTGGTGAAGCATGATCAGGGGAAACCTCGAAATGTTCCTCGCTGAACTCATGTGTAGTGCCGCTGTTGGCAGAGTCCCCATCCTGAGGGGGAGTGTGTTCTGGGGACTGGGCAGCATCAGCCCGCTGTTTCCTGGTGTCCTTTGGGAGTTTCAGAAACCTGAGGGGAAACCGAGAAGAGGCAATGACAACAAGTGATGCGTTGTTGTTGGGAAAAAGGCAGCGGGAGAATGACACGAGGAACATAAAGGGGCGGAGACCTGAAAAGGAGTTTTTGTCCTCGCTCCTTTTTGATGATGTTGAGCTTGTAGTAGTGCCGCAAGGCCCTGGACATTTTCTCATAGGTCATGTTGTCTCGGTTCTGTCAAAGGAGATCACGCAACATAATTGTGTGTTACAACATTTACTCTGGCTCCATGTCCCGTTTTTTGCCGTCTTTTTGTTCTCCCCCCCCTTTCCGGTGTTCATTTTTCCTGTGAATGGTGGCACACAGGCCCCGGGTGCTCACCTTGTGGTTTCCCCAGAGACGTGCCAGTCCGTTGGGGTCAACCACCCTGAACACCAGGCTGTCCCGGTCTTCCCATCGGATGTATTCTTGGTAACGGTCATCGCACAGAAGCTGATACACATAGTCCCACAGCAGTCTACACTCTGGCCATGATTACAACAGCAGTAAGACACATGTGGCAAAAACTAGTATTACTTTATCAAGTATTGGTATTTAAAGTTTGTCACTATGCCATTATATATATATAAGAGGAAAACATTAGAATACAACTCCGAGACTTTGTTCATATGTTTGTGACACAACTGAAGTGACAATGTCGCTCACAATGTTCCAGCAAAATAGTGGACTTAACCCATAGTTGACCAGTGAGACTCATTTCGTCTTTGAGTATCAGACTTGATTTTAGGAGTTGTTCTGCCCCCTAGTGATCAAAATGCACCTCTCCTAGAACAAAACACCAATTATTTCTATATGTTTTCTGTGTAAATACGGCAGGCCAGTCACCTGGGATGCGCCCGTGGGCTTTGTCGCGTGGGCTCCTCGGCTTCTCTCGACCGGACAGGTTAAGCGGCTCCTGGATTAAGCGCTCCGTTTGGCCAATGCACTGAACTTGGTTGTGGGGCGGCGCTGCCGATTCATCAAGTAGAGAGAGAAGGAAACACACAGAGGAGCAAAGAGAGACGGAAACAAAGTCAGACCTCACAGCAAATAATTACAAATGCAAGACGCTGTGTTACTAATATTCTTGTGTCAGAAAGCAAAAGGATCAAGGAAACATCTCTGAGAGAGGCCATGGGCTCCGAGCAGCAGTCACAGTGCTTACAAACAGCTGACAGAACGGCAGCTGTCAAAGCGAAACAAACTGTGAAGGAGAAATATGAGGAACTGTGACGAAGAGCTAAACTGAAAGCAAAAATGCTTTTAACCAGTATTGTCAGGAAACAAAGTAAATTTACTCAGAACTTGTACCCATGCACCGTTTTGAGTCGTTAGATTTCCAATTAGTACAACATTTGTGGTTTATGGTTCCCAATTATTAGTTGAAAACATATGCATTACATTCAAAACAAAGCACATTAAATATGACGTGTTGGTGTTTATTAAACTACCTTCCATAACAGCGTAAAAATCTGCTGGAATAACGAGCACACGTACAGGTAAACTGGTAACAACTTCCTGGATGATGTGTTTGCACATGCTGATCAGGAAGTAGGCGAATTGCGCCAACACTCTAATCATGATAAACAAGTTTGATTTGAGGCACAGTTGTGTGAATAATGCTATGTGTGAATAATATATGTGCCTTTTATGCATTGCCATGCACTCTGCATGCTTATCTTTTATCTTGTTGGCTCATTACATGAATACCAATGAACAAAATGTATTTGATTTTAGAGTGAAAAAATGGCAGACACTGTATATTTCTGCTTACCAAAGGGGCAGAAAAGAGGGACTGACATGTTTTACACTACATCACACATAAGCAGAGCAACTGCAGGTTCTGCTAAGGAACACATTACTCCACAATACCATTATACTGCAAGTAGTTGTTTGCAATTATATGAATGGAGGAAATAAATGTGCAGCTTAAAACATTAAATAAACACGAAATATCTGGACAACAAACTATTGTTGATTAGCCTCCATAGTTTCTGCTAATAATGCCTCCTGGGCCACAGGGTCGAATCAGCACTGTTGCACTTGTTTGCTTTGTATGTTTACTGCTAGTTGCCGGCTAAGCTGTCACAGCGTTGACCACCTATAAGTTTGATTTGTTTGGTTTGATATTTGTGTTCACCTGAATGTCCGTATCTGTAAAGTCCTGAAATGTCTTTTATTGAGAGAGAACTGATCCTGTAGGCTACATCATTATATTTTACAAAGTCGTGCTGACCTTGGACGTTATTGTCTGTGGGAGACGGAGGCTCTTGAACACTCCGGCACCTGGGTGGGTCCTGCATGGGTCCGTTTTCCAGGGAGGGAGACAAATTTGGGGTGTCACACCCAGCACTCCTCCTTTGCTGTTTTACACACTGTAGGATCTCATACAGAACATCGCCTGCAGCAAAGAAGGGGGGGGGCATATTCAAACACAGCCTTAACACCGGTCACTATTATTCTGCAGAAGCATGCGCACACTAACTTGAATACCTGAGCTGGGGCAGCGGCGTCTGAAGTCTTCCTTGGTGAGCAGACACAGAGCTCGCCCGTTCATCTCAAAGTGTCCCTTTTCAGGCCGGCGCAGTGAATACTCCCTCTGAGCCCAATGGAGCCAGTGGCCAACATCCTCCCTGTCCCAAAGAGACGGGTTTATTCCTAGAAAACGGGCAAACACAAGAAAAACACACAGTTACGGGAAGGCGTTTGTGCTTTTTGTAATGCCGGCTGCATCTACTTGGCTGGATGTTATTAATGGAGTGGTATGTCTTCCTGGTGAGCGGGTTTGACTCACGCAGTTGTCCAGGTAGATGCCACAGGTCTTCCTTTGAGCAAGGGCTGATTGAGGAAAGCTGGTTCTGGGGCGAATGATGCACACTGAGAGCAACGTTAACCTGGCTTCCATTGCCTTGCATTGTTGATGGAGGACTGTTTTCTCTGTGCTCTTGCTGAAAAAACATCCGCACGTGTAACTTTTACGCAATTATATTTCTGGAAGCACAGAAACAACAATGGGGAGTGATTTTAAAACACTGCATTTCCAATAGGCTTTGAAGCTGGCCATAGAATAGAAATGAAAGCTGTTAAAAAAATCTCCCCAGAAAATAGTATTTAGGCTCCCAGCTTATTAAAGACAATAAAATGTGAACGGTTTGCTCAACTGTGACCTTACCTCAACCAGACGTGACGGAGACACGTTCCTCATGGAAGTTCCCTTCTGTCTGTTCGACTGAAAAAGATTTCCTCATAAGCAGACCTAGATCCTGTCCAACAGATGGAATAGAGTCCATATCACCTCGAAAAACTCCATGTCTAATGAAGAATCAATATATAACTTAAAAATAATGAATAATGAAAACTCTTCTGTTTTCGCATTCGTCCCTTCCGGGAAAAGAAAACGAAAGAAACACAATCCCTGCAGGGGGTGTGTGCCAAAATAGGCTGATTGGAGGAAGCATTTGCGGAAGACATTTCGAACAACATTTGACTGCTTGATAAGAGTGCCATCCAGCAGGATATAAGGGCATTGCTTACATGGCATTTTGCATAAATAAAGTATGAGAATAAAAAGTTTACGGGATTCGAATCTCTAGATTAAAAATACTTTGTGGGTGAATAAATAATTATGAGTGTGAGTGCGGACGAGTTAATGTCAAATTACAGAACCGTGCAGTGCGTGCGCCCCATAAAACAGAGAAGAAATGACCGGAGCTCCTCCTCCTCTTACTGATTTGCAGGAAATAACGTTGGACTAAACAAAACAATGACTGTCTTTATTACAGACACCATGCAGCACCGCGCCGAGCGACACAAGGAGGATTCAAAACCATCATAAATACAAGTTCCACCATTGTTTTTCACTAAAGGTCCCTTGAGGATAAAAGCAGGCAACATTCACTGTAATATCGCCACGTCTTTAACAATAATGGCACTTTTGATCTTTCTTTTTTTCCCTTCTCCCGACTCTCCAGTCCTGCTGTTGGCGGTAATGCAGCTCAGAGCTGTTGGGCGAACGCCAATAGACGAAGAAGAAGAAGAAGAAGAAGAAGAAGAAGAAGGAGTAGAAGTGGAGGGAGATCCAAAACAGACTACGTCATCTGTTGTCGGAAGATGTTCTGAAGTAACTTGTGTGACGAAGTTAAGTTAGTTGAGCTTTAACAGCGTCTGTCAAGCGAAGGAAAAGTAGGTTTTGACACCGAGTAAAGAACATTTATTTTTGAACGACGGTGTGTTTGTTAGTTTCTTAACGAAGGCCCGCTAACGTGACGTCAAAGTCAATGACATCTTTAGCTCAGAGCTCTTAGCAACGCGCCGGTCCGTCTGCTAGAAACGACTGACGTTACGCGAACACACATTCCCAGTCGCTTCCAGTTCCCAGTACAACAGAATGCAGAAGGCTTCCCGTTTGAAGCGGGAGCTCCAGATGCTGAGCACCGAGCCTCCTCCGGGGATAACGTGCTGGCAGGTCGAGGAGCGCATGGACGAGCTGCGGGCACGTACGTAGCCTTATTCTGTGTTCTATAAACACCATGTATGTTCTCGACACCGCGTGTATGTCAGCGCCAGGTACCAGGGGTCCGTTTCAAGTAGGAGGTTTAACAAACTCAACCCCTAAACTCTGAGTTGATTTACCTTGAGATGGGAAACTCCGAGTTTTGGATTTCAGAACAGCTGTTTAGAGTTTGTTCAATCAACTCGGAGTAGGTTGACTCCGAGTTGAGCGCGTGCACCACCAGCTTGAATGGAGCCATGATACTACCAGTTACCATGGCAACAACCACAAACAATATATTCACCCATATTGAGCTGGAAATATTAATGCAAGCGTATGATGAGTATGAACCCGTAATCCATACGCTTTACTCATTTCCTGTGGGAAAATAACATTTTTTACACTCTGTTAGAATGCACTACACACATGCTTGGAATACACACCCATGCTCATATTTAGAATAATATTGCTGGTAAAAACTGGTTCAATGGTATTTAACCAATAATGTGTTTTATCCATGTGCATCCTGTGGAACTCTCTCTCTCCCTCTCCCTCTTTAATGGGTCTCACGTTTCAGAGCGACACACACGTTTCTCACGGCTCTTGATACAGTAGCTTTACTAATATTCTCTGCATCACTGATGTTGTAAAGGAAAATGCCGTTTACGAAAAAAGTAATACACTACACAAAGAATCTGCTGCTGTTTCCCTCATCTCAGGGTTAACCAACTCTGAGTTTCCACTACACCCGCTTCTTGAAGCGGACCCTTGACCGTGTGTTGTTGTTGTTGTTGTTTTTTCTTGCAGAGATAGTGGGTGGAGCAGGAACTCCTTATGAAGGTGGACTCTTCTCCTTGGAGATTACCGTCCCAGAGAGGTACTTCTTTTTTTGTTGTATTTTCTTTCTCTCGTTTTTATGTTACAAACACTCTCTGCAGTCTGAAAGTACTGAGCTGCTGTTTACCTCTTGCAGGTACCCGTTTGAACCTCCTAAAATGCGATTCTTGACGGCCATCTACCACCCAAACATCGACAATTCAGGGCGGATCTGCCACGATGCCCTTAAACTCCCACCCAAGGTTGGATTTATGAAAAAATAAAACCAAAAGCTGTTTTGAATTCACCCCCATTGTCAGATTTGATTACTTTTTTCATTTTGTAATTTTAATTTAGGGTGCCTGGAGGCCATCACTAAACATCTCCACTGTCCTCACCTCCATTCAGCTCCTCATGGCGGAGCCCAACCCAGACGACCCACTCATGGCTGATATAGTGAGTCGCACATGATCCTGCTATCGTACTACCTGCAGGAATAACATCCATTCGAAACCCCACCGTATGCAATATAACTTCTGGCGGGAAATTAGAATGACTCAACACTAAATAACTATACTATGCTTAAAATCTTGACCTGAACATGAATTGAATACTGGCATGCAAATTTATTACAAGTGAGAGGTTTTGTTGAATTACCATAAATTACTTAAATTGTCAATTTACTTCTACTTAGAATACAGTCCTTTTGCCGTAAAGAACATTTAAATTGTCACACTGTGATCTATTGCGTAATCCTCTGCTGTGTACATATTTTGAGAGATGCTCACTCTTCTCTAACGCAGTCATCAGAGTTCAAATACAACAAACCGCTGTTCATGGAGAAGGCCAGAAAGTGGACCCAAGAACACGCTGTTCAGAAGAACATGGTAAATATTTCAGATTCTAATGCACTTACTGTCGTATAATTGTTGAAACGTAGTTCCTCTTCAAGTTTTTTAGTTCGTAATGTACCGACCGTGGGTAGGTTCCATCAATCCGTCAGCGGGTGACATGACTGTAACTTGCTCCACAGCGCTGTTCTCTCCCTCATTAGTTTTATGTAGTGTTATACTTTGTTCTCAGGGTGGTGCTGTTGCCCCTCAGTAGAACGTTGTCTATTCATTTAGTATTGACTTGAACAAAGTGAGTCAGAGTATTTCTTTGTTGTCAAATGTTCAAATTTGACCTCCACATTTAAGCAATCATATTATGTCAATTTGTATGTTTCTTTGTTTAGGGAGTCACGGACAATACTCCAGATCAGAAAACTTTATCCCACAAAAGGAGGGCCTCCGGAACGCAGCAGGAGGCAGTGGAGCCACCAAAGAAAACCTGTGTGTAGTTTCCCTCTCCCTCTTTTTTTTTTTAAGAACAGGCCTTTCTTCCCCGGAGCAAACATTCCGTACACACACACACACACAAGTATGTTGACTCTCCTTTTTTAACTTAATTTAGTGCCATTTACTTAACTTAATCCCACAATGTATTACTTTTCTTATTCCAGAAACTACCCATATATCTATATGTATACTTTCTAAAGTTTGTGTCATGATATTAAAGTTTATTTTAACACTGCTGGAACTCCTTTGATGTATTACAGATTTGTGTTGAGAGCAGGTGTGTTTTAGCTTAAGCAGAGTAGTTGATGGTATATACAGTATGAAGATAATAATTTTATTCAAACATATGCATACCAGTTGTATACAAAGTATGTACATCCTAAATATCACGTTGTTGTTTTTTTACAATCTAAGGATTTACTTCTTATAATATAAAATTAGATATTTGCTGTTTATCATATAAAAAGGGTGACAAACATAAGGCTGTAGTGAGTCAATACCATGCTAGTTCAGAGGTAGTTACATTGTATGTACATTTTGCTAGCCTACACCAATGTCTGCAGAAAGATCACTACATCCCACTCCGTCTGTATAACTGCACGCCTTATATTGGGAAGATTTGCATATTTGAGAAAGAAATGTAAACCGTGTGAATCTGTAGCTTTTTGCTGCCCCAAAGAATAACACTCAATACAGCTGTTAAACAGATGCAAAGAAATATCGGATTATTGCATTTCTTTAAATGAAAAAACGGTAGCTTACTTTGGTTAAAAAAAAAAATTCCAAGTGTGTCTGATAATGACTCCCTTTCTTTAAAACAGACCATAGCAATAACATAGAACTTGTATTTAAAAACATATTAAGATGACTCCACTTAAAATACAACCAAACAATCCGTAACCTCTAAGCTGCATGTCTCATGATCACATTTCAGAAAAAAACATTTACACTTAAAATTCTACTGGTTCTACCTCAATTCCCCCTGGCTTAACCATTGATTTGTCTGATGCTTGGAAGTTAACAGGTTTTGATGGAGCTTTCTTTTTGTAATGCGAGTCCATGACCCAAGCAGTCCACTGGGTAGCGTCTGAAATTGTCCTTTAGTTTTTCCAGACATGTTGTAGTGGGTTGTTTCCTTTTTAAGCCTTTACATTGAAGGGAACTTTTAGTTACCCCGTCCATTTTTCAAGGCACTTTGCTGTGTTCTCATAGACTTCTTCAGAGTCTCTCTGTGGACTCATTCCGAGGTTCTTGAGGATTGGAAAACCCATAGAGTGCTGTTTTGATGATCGTCCTTTAGTGTCCACAGTGTCCCAGCTATTTGCCCCAGATAGCTTTGGCCCTCAAGGAGGAGAGGCGAGAGAGTGACTGATGTTTGAGTGATACAGGAGGCAAGTGTTATGAATCACCTCTGGATCTAAACCCTTGAGACATTGCTCGTCGTTTCGGCTTCCTCCTTCTGCCACTCTGTCTCTATCTCTGGCTGTGGGAATCTGGCAAGGGATGAGAGGAACCGAGGAAGAAGAGGACCAGCGGGAAAACCTGATTGGATCCCCTCGTGGTTGGAGAGACAACCCCCCACTGTACGGGCCGTCGGCATCGGCGAGGGACACCTGCGTCGACGTATCGGAGCAGGAGCTTTTCTCTGTCTCCACGGAAACAAGCGAGTCCAACGTGCGGTCCCGGCGGAGCTGTGGACGCGCTTTGGGGTGGGGCCAGAAAAACAACTGGGTGTGCTCTCGTGTGAAAAGCAGGAAGAGGAGGGGGTTGAGGCAGGCGGGCAAGGGCTGGAGAAGCAAGAGGACTGATTTGAGCACCTCCTCGCCCAGAGATAGGAGACTCAGCAGGGAGCACAGGGAGAGAAAAGCTACTGGCACATAGAGGAGGCCATTGGTAAATATTAGCCAGGCAACATGTTTGATCATAGCACAGTCCCACAAGCCCTCACACTCTCCCCTGAGCAACTCCCAGTAAAGGCGGATATATGAGCCTGTGACTATAAGCAAGCACAGGGTGTTCATCATAATGAGCGCTAGGGGAAAGCCAAGGGAGGAGGGTAGTCGAGACGATGGGGGAGGCAGAGGTGAGGGAAGGCAGAAAGGTGAGGAACCATACTCCCCGACTCCTACCAGTGGGAGAGACGCGAGAGTGAAGGACAGAGTGAGGCAGAAAAGCGCACATGTACGCACACTCCCGAGGGACGGCGACTTCCCGTAGGCCCGAGCGCACGTCACGCTCACGCCGCACTGCACGGCGGCCAGAGTCAGCAGCAACACGCTGGCTTCGGACGCAAACACCCAGACCCACCCCGTCGCCTGACAGCCGGCTCCCCCCTCCCAGCGGGCGCCGTGGTGACCAAACTCGCCCAGGGTTAGAGCGTCCACCATGGCCAGGGTGCTGGTGCACACACCCGTCAGCAGGTTGGAGGCACCCATGCAGGCCACGGTGAAGCGGAGCGGCGACAGGTAGCCGGGTGAGCCGAAGAGGGAGAGGAGCAGGAGGGAGTTCCCCAGGAGAGACACCAGGGAGATGGACCACAAGCCCACTCGAACCAGCCAGCTGCCCAGCAGAGAGTCGCAGGGTCGGAATGGACCTGCAACGCATAGACGGTCAGATGAAGCGAGTGGACGTGGTGAATTTATGCATAATTTCCCCCACACTGTAGTGCCCATTGGCAAACCGGAAGGTGTCATTTCTGTTACCTGGAGTGGGCGTGCATTGGACACTGGTCTGCAGTTTGGATTCCTCTATTTCTTGTTGGAACTCCTCCAGGTCAGGGTCATCTGGAATATTGCAATCACAAGATTAGTTTTCTACCAGGTTTTACGAGCTTATGCATCTGTACACAAACAGCATAGACGTGTTGGTTTGTGTGCCGCTGGCTTCACGGGGTTGTGCAATAAAGCAGGTGATTTGATATTAGTTTGCACAAAACAACAAAAATAGTTATAGAAGATAGTTGGCACAAACAAATGTTAACTATTTAATCTCTTTTGATAGAGGAGACTCGTGTTTACGTGTGACTTTATTGGTGCTGATATAATAGTTCTAACTTGAGCCTAATCTTGGTTTGTTGCTGTTTATAATTTATGACCTGACAGTGTCTGTGTGTGTCGCCTGGCACATAGTTGTGGTTTCAGCGAGGCTCCGACACGTTTCAGGTTGGCTCGTGTCAATAGTTTGTCAGTGAGACACACACACTATAATGTGTATGCCTATAAACCTGTACCCTACCACGTGGGGTATACTGCACATTTGCTCACACAGATATTGTAACGGAGAGCTTTCTTACAGTGTGCGTCAGCGTGATTCGGGTACATGGCCACGGGCCTCCTGTGTAGGTCTTCGTCAGCGTTGCTCTGCTCAGTTTCCCATTGGCTGACTGTCTTGTAGCCCTCACAGGAACCATACACACAGCACTGGTAGGCGTACGGCATCTCTATTACCCTGCAGGACAACAGATGAAACACTATTGACAAGAGACCGGAAAAAACACCGCCAGAGCAGGTGGTTTACCGAGTGCACAAAGAAAGTTGGACGTAGACATCATCGTGAATGCTTTCAAGCATCCTCAAGTGATTTTGAATCTGTCATTGACGACATACTCAGAAATGTTTCTGAGGCTCTGGATGGACTGACCTTTGCACACAGATATCTGCTTTGCACGTACAACACGTTTGAACTGTTTTTGAATCAGGATCAGGATGTGCAGTAATTACATTGCCACTTGATCACCTGCCATCTCTTAAATCTTTGAAATGCGTTCTCCATTTTCCCTGCACCTTTCCAGGCCTTCAGGGATCTGTAACAGGCCTTAACTTGCTACAGACAAATTTTCCCTTATTATGGAAGTTCATTGCAGGAATGGCTTGCAGGGATACCGTGTGATTGGTGCATTGTCAACCATTGCTGCTTTTGGTACATTTAAGATACGTTTGGTATATTGAAGAAAATTGTGAGAGGAAGGATTATTAAAAAAGATGAGAAGTGAAGTCTTTACAGCCACAGGTTACACACCTGGGTAAGTAGTCATCTTATGTAAGTCTATGATGAGACGCAAAACGTTTAACGAAATATTGAGAAAGAAAGGATGTGTGTGGTGTGTTACCTCATTCGGGGGAAGTAGTCAGGACTGAAGGCCTCATATAATTCAGTGTTCCCCTTCAGCTTGAGGTGGGTGAGACCCCCCAAACCTGCAACCGGCACCGAGCTGAGACGGTTCTCTGACAGGTCCCTGAAATAATGATGGAATAGAAATTGAGGACAAAACACAAGAGGTTGGGCGTCAGTTCAGCCCATGTCAGTGTTTACTGAATGGGCTTTCGTTTCATACATTGCCGCGGTAAGAAAACGGCCTTGTCTCAACTGTTCAGTCCAGGCTCAGATCAGATTCCCTTCAGATAACACTTCCTGTCAGATGTAGTGTATCTGCTTGTTTAGCTACGCATACTTCACACAATGAAGCTGTTTGCATTGGCATGACTTGAGATGTATCGTCTGGCCACACAGAGGGGGGTTTTCAAACAATAAATGCATATCAGTGTCTCCTGTAGACTCGGCCAGAGCACCAAATGTTTTATGTGGCACACACAGGCGAGTGTGGAGTGTTTCTATAAGGCTCTGACGGACAGCTTTGATTTAATGAAAGGTTGCAGAGTCTTAAAGATGGAAGTGTATGTGTTTTACTCACAGTTTGAGCAAAGAGTGAAGCGAGGCGAAGGCATCCAGGTGGATCCACTCGATAATATTGCAGCTCAGATCCCTGAAAACAGTCAAATGGAAAGGAATTGTAATCTCCATCACCACTAGATGTCAGTAATTGGTCTCCGTAGTTTCATCATGCTCCACGCTTCCCCACCTTCTAAGGCGGATGAAATCAAGCAATGAATACTATCGTGTAACTAAGAAACACTTTGTTTAGAAGAATTATGTTTTCCATCTTTCCTTCCCTGTTAATAACCTCAGATATATTGAATCCAAAGCTGAATCCAAAGTTTGAATCGACGGATCTAACCGATGAATTCCACCACGCCACAGGTAGACTTACAGGCTTCTGAGAGAGCTGAGCTGCTGGAAGGTCCTCGCCTCTATCCGCCTGATTTGGTTATGCTGGAGCCCTCTGTTGGGGAAAAATACAAAAGTAAAGCGCTGTGAGAACAACGGAGGAAGTGCAGGTAAAGGGCGGGACACGTTGATGTCGATGCAAACGTATGTGCAATTGTGTTGAGCTCACATCTCCTCCAGTGCAGAGCAGTGGTAAAAACTGGGCAGATCTTCAATCTGGTTGTAGGAGAGCTCCCTGCAACGATTCACAAAGCGCACGCGCACATGAACACAATAAGCAGATTTATATTGGCTTGGTTGACTTCTTATGGCGCAGTGACTGTACAAATGATTGCTTGGTGGCACAACCCTCCACAGTTGGGTTTGTTTTCTTATACGCCTCATCCTCCTTCCTTCCGTTTGTGTGTGTGTGTGTGTGCGTGTGTGTGTGTGTACTCACAGCACTCTGAGGCGAGGCAGCTGCTCGCACAGATCCAGGGGGAGAGCTGAGAGGCCGGCCCGAGTCAGCGTCCTGTAGAGAGGAGGAGAGTCCTCGGATCATTGTCGAAGTGCAAGGAAGCGAAAGGATTCCCCAGTTGTGCGAGTCTAACTCGGTCGGACAGAAAACTGTGTCGAACGGCCAAACGTGTCACCGAGGGGCAGAACTAGCTCACCCCTGCTGCCCCTTGCTCTCTTAGCATCCTAAAACACACACATGCTGTCTTTTTTTTTCTTCTTCGGCTATGGGTGTGATTGTGGGAATAGAGGCCACACTTACAAGATTTCAAGGCTGGTGGTTCCTTTCAGATCAGGAAACTCTTGGATCTGTGTTGCCCCATTAAGAGAACTGCAGCAAAAAGACAAAGTCTCAGCAAAATGCATCTTTTTTTCCTCTTACACACACACACACACACACACACACACACACGCAAACACTCACACAGAGATACGCACATACTTTGTCTAACAGCTCATTTTAGCCATCAAACCTTTTCTCCAACATCAACACATGCAGGCTGTTTTGGCTGTCTTACAAGACATCATAAGTCACACCATTCAACATGTTCTTACAACACACTCTCTCTTACCACATCAGCGCAGAGCACAGCAGTAAGCTAACACAACATCATTCAGGAGGCCATTACACATGTCCATTCAACTCTCACTGCTAGGGACAGAGGATGATTTAAACACTGTTTGGGCTAACTCACTGGAATGGTTCCTACTGACGGCATACTCACAGCGTGTGCAACTTTGGTAAAAACTGGAAAGCCGACTTTCCCACAAACTGGATGGGATTTTCATAGAAATGGCTGCAGGAAAGAAAGATGGTGAAGATTGATTCCAACATATTTTGATTCATTTGTGTTGAGTAAAGAGTTGCGCTTTACAAAATAGCAATTATGTGTGTATTTAATACAGAATATGAAGGTTGTAGCATTAAGCTCACATGGTTTGGAGCTGAGGGTTTCCCACGAAGGCCCTCTCAGGGATTGCTTTGATCTTGTTGTTATGGAAGCCCCTAGAAATATAGAAACATAATTAGAGTGATTATAAATATGTTTCTGATTCTGTGACTGTGTGTGTTTGAGTTTAGAGGACCGAGACGCAAGTTGTTGCATGTTGCACCTGCCGGTGCACAGCTGAAGAACATTTTTGGATAAATGAGATGTAAACATGCACACATATGCTGTCTCTGTGTCACATATGCACGCCGTGAAACATCTGCTGAAGCTGAGGAAAAACATGGTTTGTGTGTGTGTGTGTGTGTGTGTGTGTGTGTGTGTTTGTGTGTGCGTGCACAGGCGGATCAGTGTGTGGGTGTGCAGCCAGCACCTGCTTAGGGCGAGAGAGATTGTATCCGAGTGCCACATTAAAATCATTTAACAGGATTACTTGGGATGAAGCAACCACGATAGTCATGTCAGGCAGGTGTGTGTGTGTGTGTGTGTGTACTCACAGTTCCTGAAGCTTACTCAGTGTCCTGATGGCCACAGGGAACTCCTGCAGGTCATTGTAGTTCAAATCCCTGAGAGAGAAAATAAATAAGATGAATAATCAATATAGTGATCAAAAGTATATTGAAAAGGTATGATGGAGCTTTTTTGGAGCCATATTTGATATTCTGTTTGTCCCGTGTGTTAGAAAGTGTGCCTGATTGCATATGTATGTGCAGCCACTTCCTCTGCACTCGAAGCGGCTGACAGCTGTAGAGTGTGTGGTTTGGATTTGACCTTTGACCTTTGCTGCTCCGACCTAACTATTTAGGTCTGTCTTTGATTAGTTACCAAGGAGACGCTGTATCAAAACAACCATTGCTACAATTGAGTTGACACAGCTCATACGAGGGGAGGGGGGGGGTGAGGCTGGGAGGGGGGGTTATTGTATGATATGCTGGTGGACATGGGAAAAAATGTGCAGCGTATATGTCATGTGGATACTAGTGTACTAGTGTTCTGTTTGCCATATTAAGGCATGTGCCTGGCTTCCTTCTCCGGGTCAAAGGATATCTCGAAGTACTCCGTCATTGTCGGCTGGATATTTGAAGATACATTTCAAGTGAATGCCTCTGATGAATGTGTTTGTGCGGATTCTCTGAACTGTCTGTCTGCGTCTGCTCCGTCTTGTTTGGATATGCAGTTATGTTTTCCAGCAGTCCCCCTGGACAGCTCCTCGTCGTAACGATTTTATAATACACACAGGGGGGTTTGGGGAGGGCCGTGGCCATGCAGATGGTTCTCTCGTATTCCTCACAAGCGAAAGATTAACCCCTCATACCAGCGCAATCCCCACGTCAATGGCACCTGCCACCTTACACCGCTGAATCGTCCGTCTCCGCTCGCCGCTGACGGCCCAAACGCGTTAACGCGCGCTATTCTCGTCCAGAGAGCTCCATCCCTCCTTTTCTCATTCTCTGGTTTCCCTTCGTACCCCTTCAGCACGGCTCCCCTGACTTACACCCCCCGTTCCCCTCACATTTCCCAGCTCGGATAATGGCTTTTAAGTTGAGAGTGTTAAGCTTGCCAATGCGCTTTGGAGTGCACATGCAGAAGTGCTTGCTTATCTGCGCACACACACACACGCATGTGCCCGCACACATGCTCATAAAACGGAACGCATGATTTTTTATTTTTACATATCAACAGGTTGTTAAGCGGCACGCCGCTGTCACCGGACCACCATGAGTGTTGCATGAGACGCAGCTGCTGTGTGTGCATTTCTTTCGCTTTATTTCTACACCTCTGGCAAAAAGGTGTCAGTTTCCTGTGGTTTCCATATTGGTGTGCGGTTGCCATTATCAAAGCTACAGCACTTATAAGTTCTCTTATAAATGACTCTCCTGTAGCCAGGCTGAGCCAATATTTCACCCCGGCGCTGCCGACCGCTTACTTTTAAAATACATGAAGGACTGTGTGGATTTGACTTCTAGATTTAGGGTTCTGATAAAGCACCTGCTGAAATAATAAGGACATCTATCATTATGACTTGACACTGACATTTATTAAAACACCTTCACTTCAGGAGTTTCAAGTAACACCAAACACAATAATTAATGCTGCATTCAAACAGAAAAATTGTTGGTGTTGGTTATTTGACTTTCATGAGGTTCTATCCAAGGAACGTTTGTCATATATCTGTTAAGTGTGATCGAAAGACAACGGTTCAGAATCAATCAATGGTGTTTGATGGAATGATTAAACTAATGTGTGTGCGTCTGTGTAGGTGTGTGTGTGTGTGTGTGTGTGAGAGAGAGAGAGAGAGAGAGAGAGATAGTGACTTGGGTTTGACTTTCAGTAGTAACCGCTATCCAAATAGCATGAGCACATTGACTTGTGTGTCTGTCATCATGTGTGCGATACTTACAAGGTCTCCAGACTGGTTAAACCTTCAAAACATCTCGCCCCCATGCTCTGGATGTGGTTGTTATGGAGATGCCTGGGAAAAGGGCCACAAATGTGTTCTTATTAATCAGAAATGACTGTCGCGGTGATGAAGAGGTTTTCTCTGGTGCGATGAGAAACACAGAGACCCTGGAGGGTTTTGAGTAAAAAAAATCAAGACATCACTTACAGAACGACAAGGGCGGAGAGGTTGGTGAATGCATAATCCGGGATGTGTGTGATCTGGTTGAGGGCCAGCGTCATGGCCTGCAGGGAGGGCAGCGAGTCCAGCGCCGTCCCCGGGATCTCGGTTAGGGAGTTGTCGTCCAACCACAAGTGTCTCAGGGAGCGAACCCCTCGAAAGGCCCCAGCAGGAACCTCAGACAACAGGTTAGCATCGAGACGCCTGCAGGGGCAGAGGAACTGAGCTCAGCCACGTAATCACCAAGTTTAAGCAGTTTGTTTGCTTATGTGCAACCATGCCTGTGCATGAATTAGTGGTTGCATGCTGTGGCAATGAAACACATTGGCTAACAGGAAGGGTATTATGAGAATTACACATCTTTTATTCTCCTTCTTTCATCTTTGCTGCAGCGTCTTAGGAGCTCCGTTATGATGGAAATAAGCCATGTGTAGCTCCACCAGCACAGACATGTATGAAATGTGAGACGAGAAAAGAGCCAAACGTGCAAGAACAGTTGGGAAAGGCCTGTTTAATTCTACCTCTTTCTAATCAGGTTGCGCCTGCGGACTTCCACAATGCCTGGAAAACAGTTTGGGAACCCATCTTCAGCTGTTCCACACAGCGCCGGACACACACATCTGCTTTCATCTGGTCAAACATAACCAAAACGTTGTCTCCTCTCTCACTTGGTGTCCATAACCCAGAAGCATCAAGTGTGGACTGTGACCCCCCCCCCCCCCCCCCCACAAATAACAAAAGGGAGGCGGGAAAATGGACCCCAGGGTAAGTACGTGTGTATGTGATAGATTATCCCCCCCGCGGCGAGAAGTGAGAAATTGAAAACCCTTTCCCCCACTCTTCATCTTTCTTTGGCCCTTCACACTCATTCATTAATCTCCGTTTACTCCCTCTGGCCCCTTTAACGACCCAAATTTGATTCCTTACGTCTTCATTCATGCCGCTGCGAACCCCCTTTGCGTTTCACTCTTTAACTCTTGTTTGCATTTTCTAACATCCTCTCTTATCAATCTTCTGCTGCGGCTCTTTGATTGTGGAGCCACGGCTCCTCCTCGGCCTCCTCGACCCACCGAGGTTTCGCCAAACAAATGGCGTCATCAAAGTTACATCTGAACTTGAACTCTCAACTCTGGGACCCCCCCCCTCTCTTCCCCCCAGGAAAATGTTCCATGTGGAAATAGAAACTGCGTACAGCGGCAGCGGCTCATGCACAGGAAAACGCTCTCCGGCATACGCGTATAGGTACGAATGTGTTTACGCTCACACACAAATGTTCGTCGCATCTTCTACCTAAGCACACAACGTCTTTGGTGCTAAACATCTTCTCGTGTGCATCCTTTGCTCCAACTGTGGACATTGTTTGTCCCTGACCCAACTCGCAGGATGAAAGCCACGGAAGACCCTTCGACGTTCTGTTTTGTTCTCCGGGGCAAAATAATAATTGCTCCTCTGGGTGGACCTGCCAGGTCTCCAGAAGGTCCAGACCGAACCAGGAATGTTCCACAGAAGCCAATAAAGCAGGAACTATTTCCTGTCTATCACATCAAAGTACGAGGCACGATTAAGGGAGAGAGAAATGTAGACAGAAACAGAAAGTTCTCTTAAATGATCCAGGAGTTCTGATGATATGCCTCCCAGTTCAATTCTCCAGATGGCCAACATTTTATATAACAAGGAACTTGAAGGAGCTTGTTTCACTACCCTTGAGTCAAATCCATAAAAAGACGTGGCTTGTGGAACTCATCAGTGGTGATCAGGCTGCATAACCTGTGGGTCATGACCCCGAACAACAACACTCAACGGCAGTTAGACAAACCTCTGCTTCAGTTCACTGCTGACAGGTTTTGTGCCTGATTAAGAATATGATTTATTTTAGATCAAAGCCTCCTTTATACATTTATACAAATTTAAAACCCTTGATCTGTCTCTCTTTCTTTTTACCTGCCGTGTTTCATGTCAGTAAGAGGCGCCGTCAAGCTTCACTCTCCAAAGCCTTTTCAGTAATCTTTGTGCGCCGGGCTTATCATTACTGTAATGACAAGGTGCGTCTCTATACTCCCGCCTCTGCGTGTGTCGCTTCCGTGTGTGTGTGCATGTGTGTTTTTCACTACTCGAGAGCGTCCCAATGCGGGGATATAGAGAGACCACACAAAAACACACACCTGCTTGGGCAAACACAGATACACGAAAACTGTTTATAATCCCCAAATTCCACATGCACAGCGGTAACCTGAGCCATAGTGGTCGCCTGGATGGAAGGCTGTGCGGATCACAACTTAGTGGCCGTTAATTCATTTTAGAACGAATTGCTAAATTCTTATTTGAATTTCTAAATACTTACCTAAAACACCTAAATCAGTGTTGTTCATTTCAATTAGACTCATGCGCTTGTTTGCAAAGATTGTCTTAGATTAGTCTTTGTTAGTCGTTGTTTTTCTTCTTCAGCAGCACAAATCTTTTTTTCGTTAATTAATATACAAACTGAAACCTGCATTGTTCATTAACTGCTACCAGACGACTGAATTGTCCATTTCTATTTCGCTCCGATCGCCAACACCTGTCTGCTTGGAGCACATCCGCCGTCGACCACACAGTCACTATACGCCTGCAGTGAGTCATTCTTAAATGACCCACGCTACTATTACACCGTGTTTCCATCCACATATTTTTATGCGAATCGTCTATTTGGGAAACGGGATGGAAGCAATCTCCAGCGAACCTCCAAAGCTGTCAGACACATTTCTGTACCTGCAGTAGAGAGTCAGGGGAAAAGAAACAAATAATATGAGCTGAAACAGAAGAACCTGCCTATCACCTCTTTGTTTTAGTGCGTTTTACTGACATTGAAGGCTCAGATAGACTCGATTACCAAGCTTTCTATTGGCTGCCACACAACATTGGCATCTTGTTGGTGGAATCTAATAGGTCGCTATATCAGCCTGAACAGCGAGGCCAGGCTTGGTGACTGTGTTGAGGTAGAGCAGACCTTCTAAATACCCGACCGAGAAACGTTTTTTGGGGGTAGAAGAGTTACGTGGGCCGCTTTTTTTTTACAACTCGATCAATATGAGCGTGCGTCTGTGCGATGAAGGAAATGGTTTTATGGGTATTTATAGAGAACTATTCATTTGGAAAGCAGGGATGTGGAGTATGTGTGCGGTACAAAGCTGGGGGAGACGGGCAGGCTTGAGGAATTACAGATGAGGTGGTCCATATGCATCCGGCCAAACATTCGCGCTAACACACACACACACAAACACACACACGCACGCACACGCACTCACACGCACATGTACACTGACCCCGCAGATGAGACAATTATGCCACCAAACATTCTCATTAGCCAGGGGGGGATAACGGTGTGGGTGGTGGGAGAAGGACGGAGGAGAGCAGCGGACGAGGAAGGGAGGGCGGGGGGGGGATTGATGGAAAACGGGGTTGTTTCACAGCTCATTGACGATGCTCTCCCTGGCCTGCAGTGTCTGCTGCTTCCCTCATGGCTTCCAGATGCTACCATGAACTGACCTGACACATTCAGGCTGTGACTCCCACCGTCGGGCAGTGCAGTGCACAACCCCGGGGCTAAGGTCTGTAATATGGTAGCAGTGCTCTGTACCTGCACTGCGGTCAGAGCTGAGCTGTGTGGGTGGGTGGCCGGGGGATGTTTCATTCCCCAACATAATTAGTGCATGCGTGTGTGTGTAAGAAGGAGAGACTCACAGGGACAGCAGGCTGGGCAGGTCCCATGGTGCATCATCAGGAAGTCTCTCCAGTTGGTTGTTTTGTATCATTCTGTAAGACACACGGGGATTATTTAGGCGTAGGTTAATAGCTGCATAAGTGATAAAGTGTGTGTGTGAGGGCACACCAAGCAGAACAAATAATTCCATCATGGGGAAATCTGACACAAAAAGGAAAAGGGCCGGTGAAAGCTCAAGGAGAAGCAGAGGATGAAGGGAAGAAGAAAAGAGGAAGGGAGGCTCCCTGGGTGGGCTGCTGATGTCATGCTCAGAAGAATGGGCTAGAACGCGAGGAGGAAGTGGCGAGCAAACAATATCCCTCTCTCTCTTTCCTCTCTCTCTCTCTCTCCCTCTTTCTTTATAGCTTTAATCGTGACCAGTAGTCTTGACATCAGCTCCCAGTGTGTCTTTCTCAGCAGCAGCATTTTGCTTTCACTGTGGCATCATGGTGCTTCTTTGTGAGTCCCGGAGGCACCGTGTCACAGCAGTTAAATGTCTTGCAATGAAGGCAATATACAGGTTTTCTTTGTATTCATGAATTACCTTTATTCCTCGACTGCCAAAGTTTTTTTTCTGAATTGTAATTTAATTAGATTTACTGTAAGGGAACGCGCATTCTGGGTGTCTGATGATGTATTTTCTTCTTCTTAACTCACTGTGTCTCATTCTTTCGTAGTGTTGTGTATTTTACAATTGTCAACGTAGAAAAAATGAGGTTTTTAGAGGATGGGGGGAATGTTTCCGCTGGGACAATGATGCCATGATAAATACATCAAATTGAGCCTTTTCCTGTTTCGGAGAAATTCCCTAGGGGGAGCTTGTACTCCACTCTAGGTTCATGACCCCCGTGTGTGTGTGTTAGTGTGCGTGTGTGTGTGTGTGTGTGTGTGTGTGTGTGTGTGTGTGTGTGTGTGTGTGTGTGTGTGTGTGTGTGTGTGTGTGTGTCAGCAGGAAGTCGGCTTGCAGTTATCCTACACAAGGTCAGCGGTCCGTTTGTGACAGCCTGACTCTACCTAATATACAGAGGAAGGAAATGAACCGCTCAGCTGCTCTGAGGACAGAGAGATGGATGTTACAGTGCAAAGCATGAATGCTTTCAGAGGTGTATGAACCCAGGACGTGTTTGTCCTTCTGCAGTAATTGTATAATGACAGAGGATTCATGGTTGGTTCACTCATCCTGTATCGCTGAATTTCACAACACAAGGTGCAGGCGATGTGCCTGGTAATCCCCCAGATTACCTCAATTTACAAACCACAATTCTCTAGTTAAGTTTATTTTCTGTGGCAGAGCTTCTCAAACCTCTCAGCGAGGGTCTAAGAGGAATTGATTATCCAGGAAACATGAACAACTCCATAACACACTGGTCTCTACGCCCAGCAGAAATAGGGCTGTAACTCATTGTATGCAGGGGTCCCGAGTCAGAAAATGCCTCGGTTTTTATGGTTTCTTTGCACTTTTTCTGTGATTTAATACCTCAGTGCAGCGCTAACAGTTGGTGGCCATGGATCATAAGGCTACGAACTCACTCGGAGAAATGGGGTGTTAAGAGAACAGCTTTGAAAGGCTTTTTAAAGTGTTATTCCTTTTTTTGTCACTTGCTGTAATCTCGGTGGGTGGTGTAACTGGGAGGTCCCTGCACTACACCTGTGTGTGTGTGTGTGTGTGTGTGTGTGTGTGTGTGTGCTCGTTTGTGCGTGTGTTTGTATGTGTGTGTGTGTGCTTGCTTACAACTGAAACAGGGCTTGTTTGAGAATGAAGGAACCAGCCCATAAACTTTAACTACAGTTAATGATGCGTGGCCCTTGGTGTTTTATTCGAGGCAGGAGCACACTCTATCACCCCATAATGCAATAGTGGAACGACGCACCTGGGATGTGGACCAAACCACCAGAGAGCAGTAGGGTGGGGGAGTGGATAAGGTTACTTACAGAACTTTGAGGCTGTGGAGGCCCTGGAGAGCTTGGCCTGAGATGTACCTCAGCTGATTCCCTGAGATACGCCTGGGAGAGAGACACGCACATCAAAAAGGGGAAAACAAATTGTACAAGTGAAAATTGATATTCAAGCACATAAACGGGAACAATTTACAAGTCTCACAAGAGAAGCTTTGCCTTTTTTTATGTTACGTTTTTGGGATTGAGTTGTATGACTTCATTCTCTAGTTCCTGCTCTGGGGTTACTGCAGGGGCAGTATGCAAATAACAATATTTGATTCCCTTCAATGTGGTTATTATTGGCCCAGAGCACACCCTGAAACATTAACCAATCCCGGGAGCTCTGATGAGTGAGTAAAGACTGAACTGAATGAGACAGAGACTGGGTCAACCAGTGCAGCATGAAAGTATATTTGCTTGTGCGCATGCAAGTGTGTTTATGTGTGTGTGTGTGTGTGTGTGTGTGTAGTATGGTGAATAGTACACACGCACACGTGAGCACATATGTGTGTGGATGCCTGTGCTGTTTGAGTCCTTGAGTTAAATTAGACCCGTTGTGAGGGGCCTTGACGACAGCGAGGGAGAGAAACCACACACATTCACATAAGCAATCCAATCAGTCTGTTTATCAAACACAGCACCTAATGGGCATTTGTGAGTGTGTATAAGATGTCCAAATAAATAACATTCAGTCCAACAGAGTGACTCTCAAGGTCATAAGCTGGAAGCTCGGTTTTACACATATTTGGCCATCACGGCTCAAGACCACCCACTTTTATTAAACACACACACACACAAGAGTTAAAAGTCCCTCATTGGCATGCTCCTGCTCACACCGTTGCTCCACAGGTGACATTTGCCTGACATTTGAATCTCATGCATACTGCCTCCGGCTGAGTTGCTCCATCAGTGCCAGGATATTGAAATATTGATATAGCGCCCGGCCTGCCTTTCCAAGCCGCCATCATGCAGACGGTAATGGACGAGAGCTCTCAGCAAACTCCCTCTGACAACTGATATCCATGTCAACATGTCTATTACTGTGCAGTGGCAAACCACACAACCCCTCCCAAGCCTGCCAAATCTCACACTTGGCCCAGTTTAGAACTCAAGTAGAGCTTTTATTTATCAACACAAGCACAAGCCCGCACATACACGTAGATACATACGAGCGTTGGCTTACGAGAATACAAAAGGGATTGATGTTTAGCCAAGCTAAGGTGATATTTAGTCATGCATCTCAAGCTACAGTGGAAAAAACCCAGACTATGACTGCATCACATGAGGTCCTAATACAGATTTCCAACATGACACTGATGACAGAGTTGGTCAGCAGGGACTGCTGCTCTTTGACATCAAACTGTACAATGTTCATCCCTTTTTCAAGATAAAGAAGATAAAATGTCAAATTTCCTGCACAAGATGGTCACTGGAGACCATTTTCGAAAGCTACTTTTAGGTAAATGTTTACCTAAAGGTTTACGTAAATGTTCAAACGCAATGATTAGTTACACAGCCATTGGAAAAAACAAAAATAAGACACAAAAATTAAAGTCCTCTGTGAGTGAAGTTTTAGAAAACAAACATTGGAGTTAAAGCCACGGTATGACTGGCATATCCCACCGCCAACCAGCCCTTCTCTGTTACCCGCACCACTGGAGCCAAAACAGCATTAGAGCGGAACATTTTTTTTTTGCCGACTTCATTCGGCAAATGGTAATTATGTCGAATGTGAAGATGGATATTGAAAAAGTAAAGAAATGTTCAGACGTTCTTGATAGACGTAAACCGAACACTGGCAGTTGCTGTTGACCAACTGTTTCCATGATATTACCATTCTTGTGTGTGTGTGTGTGTGTGTGTGTGTGTGTGTGTGTGTGTGTGTGTGTGTGTGTAAAAAGATCAAAACTAAGTGTTCCGCATGTTGCCTCCTAGTTATTGCACATCAATCTCATTCACATGAAGGGCGCCTTGCTCTTGTCAACCTGTGGCTCCAACTGTTTTTTCTTCTAATTTTATTTGGGGATGGTTGGAATTTTTCTTGGCCCCTGGACTGGCTTCATAGAAAATTCCATCTCAGTATAATTCAGCTCAATTGACGTGATTCATAGAAAAAAATAACAGAGACCAGTTTGCAGTTGAAAGGTATGGGAGAGAAGGGAGGGTTCCTAAGCAAATATGACAATTCAAATCCAGCCTGTGTGTGTCCCTTGTCCCCTTGTGGGCTTGTTAGTCTTTGTCGGTGAATCTGTATCTCTGCGTTTCCCCTCCCTAGTTCTTTGATTGTGGAAGTCAGAACCTGAGTCCTCCCTCTCTCTCCTCTCCCCGCCCTCCCTTGTCACCCTTAACGGCAGAGAGAGGGTGGCATAGTGTGTGTCTATAAGTACATATTCATGTATAACACCCAGAGGGTCAACCACTTAACCTGGCATTGACCTTTGAAATTACTGGAGCAAAATATGAACATGTGGAAAAAACAGTGAATGTGTGCGAGAGAGAAAGTGAGAGAGAGACAAGCAGACAAAACCCGATGTTGGTAGCGTGTAAAGTAAACCCTTAACCTGCACCTACATAATACTCATACTGCAGAAGGGCACCGTTGTCCTCTATAATTCAGATTGAACTGATTCAATAGTCAGAGAGCACATTCCAGAGTTTCAGCTTTGAACCGATAACAGGAGTTAGCACCTCTGTATGTGGAGGTGAGGGATGATTCAGGCAATGATAATGTGGCTATGAGAGACTTGATCCAAACGGCTGCTGCTGCTGATGATGATGATGATGGCGTTCTAAAACACCCTCTGACGAGATCAGAATTAGGTAGTGTATCTTTGATATTAAAGGAGAACATTTTAATAGGGGAAGTGCTTGAAAAGTCAGCGTATGAGTATCCAGTCTCGGAGTCTGTAGTCAGCAGCGTTGCCCTCTCATTAATCCATAGACATGACGTCTGCCTATGCTGCATGACAGTTGCATGCAGGTTTGTTTATGGGAATTAAGAGTAGATCAAAGTGCTAAATGACGGCTTAATGAGAGGTGTCTGGGGTCAATGGAAGGGAGGGGTAATTACACTTTGTGTTATCAATGTGTCGCAATTAGGAAAATGGAGATTGCTATATGCTTTTGTGAAGAACTTTAATTGAGGTTCAAAAGGATTAACTGCTACAATAGAAGTGAGAGCTGGGCGAGGAATCAATACAGGCAGTTTAGGTTTATGAGCGGTGCCTTAGAAGGACCCTGCATGGCCTTCCTCCTCCTCCCCACAGCGTAAAACAGGATGAAACCTGGACTTCTTGCCATGAGCAGATTTGTCTTGTTTTGTAAGAATGTGGAGAGAGAAGCGAGAGGGGTGGGGGGGACTATCAAAGGCGGTGTCTGCAGCTTGCCATAGCCTGCAGTAAAATGGAGATGGGGGCTGTAGAAATTAATTGGCGAGGAGGGAGATAAAGTGAAGGAGTGCAGACAGGGAAGTAGAGCCGAACATCAAACAATTTATCACCACCAGTCACAACATGTCTGGCCCTTGGTTCTCCCCGTGCTACCAACAAGTGCTGTGGACCCACATCAAACAAGCTCGCTCTCAAACCGACTGTCTAGAGCCTCGGTTTGTTTTTCTAAGTGCTGTAACTTGTTGCTATTACAATGTGTTTACCATAACCTGCTATGCTTCATCTCGCTAAGCCTCCCAGACAGGAGTGGATGTCAGAAATGGGCTGTGAACCTCGCCTCGGGAACATGACCATCGTTATCGTTAATATCTCCAGAAATGGTCAGCAGGCTACAAAAATGTGGCTTTAGGGCAGGAACATCCTCCTTGGAAGAGTTACAAAGCAACAGAACGTCTCCATGAAGTGTCAGGACACAAGAGCGATACAGAGGAAGCGAGATCAACGGGGTTGTAAAACACTGGGAGGATTGTCTCTGGACAAACAGTGCAGATCCAAGACTCCCACCCCCTTTTTCCCCCAAAGTAGGAAAACGTCAGCATCCATGTTCAGCATCACTCTGCGCTGTATGGTTCTGATTATTAAACCATCAGCAATATTTAACCGTTTTCACAACAGAAAAAGTTGAGATCAATTTGATGCAGCTACAATAAATCATGTCTTGAATTTTATTCGCTAACTTCAAGGTGTCCCAGAGAGCTCCATTGCCCGGCTTCTCTCCACAGCTACGATCCGGTCGGATTGCAGCTCAAACTCAAGTGAATGGCCGTCCACCCAATCTTTTACTTTCAACCACGATTAGCTCACGCGTCACGGACTGCAGCTGCAAGAATTAACAAAGAAAACAGCAGACTGTTCAAACACACCCAAGCAGACCTGCACAAACACTGCAGGCTTTAGAAGTAAAAGAATCAGGTGAAGGCTGACACACACACACACACACACACACACACATTCACACCCTCGGGCCGTATCTGTGGGCAGCCTTTGTCAGACCGAGACTTAGCTGAGTTCTGCTGAGTGGTCAGATCAGATACCGGCCAAGTCGACCGTTATGCTTTGATCAGCCCGGTGACGATGAAAACCGAGACCTTCTTCTTTGTCATGTGCCGACCATCTTGTTTTTATATTCATTTGAACATTGTTTGATTTTCAAAAGAAGTACGTTTCGGGCATTTAATAAATTAATTAAATACACACGCCAAGGAGCGGCGGGGGGGAAAGAAAACAGCTGCTTGGATTTTTTAACATTGGACCTTTAACACTTTAAGAACCGTATGTTCTCTCTCTGAGTGAGGCTACATTATCCTCCCTCCTGTGTGAAGCCAGCCCCGGATCTACTAGTGCGCTGCTGCAGGCAGTTTCCTGGTGGGAGAGATCACAGGCAGGCCAGAGTCATCAATCCCCATCACTGTGTACGTGCGTATAAACGGCTCAGGGAATATCTGTTTCTGTTCATGTGTGAGCTGTGGTGATGGAGTTTTATCAGTTGAATGATTTTTGTACTCACAATTCTGATAACAGGTGCAGTCGGTGGAAGGCTCTGGGCTGGATCTCACTGATGTTGTTCATGCTGAGATCCCTAGAGAGAGAAAAAGGGGAAACATGAGTATGAAAGTATCAGTAAATGTATACCGTATCAACTTCTAGGTGCTCAGGGCGTGTACAACTGCAAATGTTTAAAACCTGGTTTTCACATGGCGATTAATCATCAAGACTGGGGAGTAGAATGCAGAGAGGTTGGAAGGTTAGGTAGAGAGGTTGGAGAAGCAGAGGGAGGAGAGAAAGATGAAGAAGAAGAGAAGTTTTCCCCAATGATTCATAGTTGGGCAGTTGTAATTTCCTTTTCGTCCCAGTGACTCTCTCTTTTCCAGATGTCTCACTCTACCTTCTCTCAGATCTGACCCCTCAGCCTCCCTTTGTATCCATCCATCTCTCTCCTTTTTTCCTTTTCTTCCTCAGGTTTCTCTGGAGACCATTTCCTACTCCTTTTGTTCATGGCTGCAACATAGACACACTCCATTTCTCTGCCTCTGTGACACACACACACACACACACACGGAGGTGGTGTGCTGAGGGGTGAGTGTTGACGCAGCTGCGTTGCGGTCAAAGAGGGAGAGGCGCAGGATGCTCTGATACATCTATGCACACTCATACTCCTTATGCACACAGATTGTTACCCACTTTTTTTTTTTTTTTTTTACACTCGGGACAGTATGTGGACGACTTACGTGTCGGCCTCTGGCAGAAAACACACATGACCTTTCGATGTCGGTCATGTGGGGTCATCGCTTTGATGAAAGCAAGAAGGTCCTACGTCACCCCTCCTTCGCTTTCACGACCCATGGGGGTCTCGCAAGAGTCTTCAAGATTGGGGCTTGAATGTGCGGTGTGTCTGTGTGTGTATGACACTAACCATTGCTCATAAAGCCAGACCACCGGGCTAGCAAGTGTAAACCGTGCTCTCAGAAGCTTTGACACACTTGCTGTTTGTTTGTCAAGTCGGCCGAGCTGACGCGAGCGTGATCCATATTCAGCGTCCCAGACGGTGTGGAAGGGAATCTGCAGGGTTGTATTCTGCTTCACCAATTTGGGTAATTGAGTAGCCTGTCATTTAGCAGCTTTGACAAGACAAACGCGGTACACCAACACTTTGGCACGCCGCCGAGGATAACATTTAACATCGGACCGTCAGGGTGTTGGATTTCCCCCCTTTCACTGTGTGATGAGCTCGCAACGTTAACTGTGTCCTTTTACAGCGAGATTCGTTACGGTCAGATAATTACAGAATGCGACCTCTGCTGACATTGGATATGTTGCGTATGAAAACATTCTTATTTTTGGCATGTTCGGATCCTTTCCTGGGAATTTCCCGTTACACATGCCCCTTCCTGGGAGGTCTGACTACAGATAGAGGGGTTCAAGGTGTTTCTCAGGTTCCAGGACAAATTGGCAGGTTGGATGCTTTTCATCAGGGTTGGGAGTAAAATGTTGAATAGCAAGGCATCAAAATCCCACATCACAATTGCTGGTCTCAATTTCTTTTTGTGTTTTGAAGAGCATGTCTGTTTTTTTGCATGTTGTGTGCTGATGGGAGGCTACAATAATCTCTGTAAACAAATCTTGCATTTACTTGGGCAGCGGGACAAGATTCAGGCAATGGAAGACCCTGTTGTCATTGAGCGCGCTATAATGTGCTGGCCGGAATCGGAACCCCCAAAATACAGCCCCTCAAACCCGGGGGCTTAACCATTGTCACACTCACAGCCAGTTCTGAGATTTCCCCCACATGCACGGGAGTGGCATTATACACATTAACTATATGCTGCGGAGATTAGTAATGCATATGGACAGCTGGTGGGGTTGATGCACCATAAAAGCCAGCAGTGGGCCAATAAACAAGAAGAAGAAGGAGGCCAAAAGCCAGAGGAAATGATGCAAGGGTTTGCAAATGTTTTCGGAGGTTTGGTATGTTAAGGATGCGCATTCTGCAGTTTGGCGGGAAACATTCTATGTTGCCATGTTTGTTTTTACTAAGACCTTCAGGGCACTTTTGTATATTAGCCCAATTTATGTCCATAAAATGATCTCATCCAATGAGATTATGTATAAATTATTGCAGTAACGAGCGAAGGACACATTTCAAACGGGCTTTTAAGTGCATATCACCAGTCTTGAAAATGGAATGCAGCGTAATTAATTACCTTCCTTAAAAGGCAAGTACCATGATTCACAAACGTAAGCAAATCAACAACTGCTGTGTAATTTATCACTCTATTTCCTCACAGTTTTGTTGAACTCAGGTCTCCCTCTCGGGAAAAGTACTGTGGTGATGTCATGTGAATTATTTACTTCAAGTTTTTCCCATTTTTGGCTCAATCTGCTCGGTCATTTGGGGATGAATGCAACCTTGAGTTGCATTACTGCTTGATTAAAGTCAGGAGTAAACATAAGTGATAATAAAGTTGTCATGGAGATGACACAGCAAGCAGTAACGGCTTACCAACTGACATAATCAAGGCCGGGTGGGGTCATGTGTAATGTCACACGAAGCACACGAAGGTCACCTCATGGGACCCGATGAACAATACACAAAACACACCTCACTTCTATTTATTGTCGGTGTGCTGATATTCTGAAAAAAAAGAATCCTCATCGGAAAAAAATCCTGGTGGGAATCGTTAAAGCATAGCAACACCCTCACTTTCACTCCCACGCGCAGACACAAACACACATCACCTACAGCTTCTGGGGATGCGGAGATAACTCTGCATTATCTGGTCCTGATTTAATAAGTCATAAACAAACGTGTGAAGTCCATAACCACGGTCTCACTTAGACAGAATAAACACGCAGCAATGAGGAGAGAAAATGTTTAAAAATAAAGACACACAAGGGTGAGTCATGGGGAAAGGTTGAATGCATCTCAGCTCTGCTGTGCTCTCCAACAGGCTCATTGGGAAGCTGGTGGGAGAGAGAGAGAGAGAGAGAGAGAGAGAGAGAGAGAGAGACATTTGTGCTTTGCAGGCCAAGGCCTCCTCTGACAACTTGACGTATCATTGGAAGGCGCTGCGCTGTGGCTTGTTTTTAAAATCAAATAACAGCTGTGGCTTTTTTAAACCATGATAATTATGATTGATGACTACCACATGTGCATTGTGTAGGCTGGCGCTGCGACGCACGGATATTTTCAGCGCAAATAAACGGCCGCAAAAGAAATGAGTAATTTTGCAGGCTCCGCAGCGTATGGGAGTCTCAAAATTAGAATTGTGGTTTCTGTGTCCCCATTTTATGGGCACCTCTAAAGTGTGTGAGTGTGAGAGAGAGACTGAGAGGGAGAAAGAGGGAGTTTGTGTGTCAGTATCTGTGTCGGTAAAATTTATTTTTTCAGTTTATAGGTGACTGCGGTGTGTGTGTGTGTGTATGTGTGCGGTAAGATGTCTGCCGCTCATTTTCACACCCCTATTGTTCCTCGGGTGAGCCTGCAGATGCGGAGGGTAGGGCCCCTGGTCGCGCTGTCACCACATCATACATGAGCGCCGCCGGGGCCGCGAAAACAGATTGCCTCGCGGGTCCGCCCGTGTGAGCGTGAGCGACAGAGTGGAAGTTACTGCGGTTTCTTTTTTCTTTATTTTTCTCATCCGAGTATTCAGCGGGGAACCATCCTTCCCTATCGCGGCCATCGCGGCGTCAAGGAAGCAGCCAGATATTGCTCCCGGGACGACACATCTCTCAACCCACGGAGGCCCGCGGGTCATCTCCTCCCCTCAGATCCTCCGCCTGCTGCTGAATGATGAACTAAAGACTCCCGAGCAGAGGATGCAGACGCGGAGACCCGCGCTCATCCCTCAACAAACACGATTCCAAACGTGCCTCTTAACTGTTCTTTTTTTTTCTCGTCCCGCTCTGCTCTCAACCCGCAGAATGCCGCGCAAAGCCCCCCGTGATCTCTCTCCGTTTCCCAGGAGAGGAATTACATTTTCATGTGCCTGCATGTCATTTAGTGTGTTTAAGCACACTGGTGTGTGTGTGTGTGTGTGTGTGTGTGTGTGTGTGTGTGTGTGTGTGTGTGTGTGTGTGTGTGTGTGTGTGTATGTGTGTGCGTGCCGGTATTGCAGCAATTGGAAGAGTAAGAAAGAAAATGGACATTTTTCCATTCCCATTCCTCCCGTTGTTCCGTGATTTGCAGATACACAACGTTCTCTGATAGATTATTTATTCTTTGCTCTCCAGAGAGTGTGGGTGCACACGCTTGTGTGCGTGTCAATGGAAGAGGGAAAGGTTTGGCATGGGAGTAAAGGTAAAGAACTGGATAGTGTACTACTTGATGCTGTGTTTGATAGAGCAACCGAGGCAAGGAGCTTGTCTTAAGGAGGGGAACGGAAGCATGAAGAAACAGAGGTACATTTCCATTCATCAGCCTCGGCCCTTTCTCTCCCTCTCTCTTATGCCTCTCTATCGCTCACTCTTTTCTCCCCATCCCTGTTTCAAATTTCAAATGGAGCATGGGCCTTCACAGTCCGCTAGTTACAATACTGTGATTTATTATATTTCCTCTTTGCCGTCAACAGAACTACTGAAGTATGTTATCTGCTCTGTAATCAAGGCCAGTGTGTGTGTGTGTGTGTGTGTGTGTGTGTGTGTGTGTGTGTGTGTGTGTGTGTGTGTGTGTGTGTGTGTGTGTGTGTGTGAATGTGCCCCTAGCTGCGTTGTAGCCAATTTACAACTGAAAGCTGACAAGAGTTGGTTGATTTAGTTTAAAAGAAAAACGACCACATCACATGAAAGACACACCCGTATACATACGTTCAGAGACAAACACACGCGCACGCACACTCCATGGCTCCGGGTGGCTTTTGTGCCGCGGGTGACGGACCACCCTGAGGAGTGAATAGACCCGGAGAACGAGTCGGATGCAATCAGCAGTCAGGTGTCCCTTTCTATCATCGACGGTGAAATGTGTCAGTCAAACAGAGCCAGGCAAGAAAAGGCCAAGGGCAGTCGCTACTTTTCACTTCCAGTGATTGAAAGTTAAAAAATGCAAAAGAAAAACTTGGATGGAGAGCGTCCGGCCTGTTGATG